ATCATACCTACGTATTAAAATAATCGAATTTAAAATAAATATACATACCTCATTCTAGAATAGTTTTTCATAGTAAAGTATTAAGTATGGGTTACTTTTTTCTTTTTAATTCCGGATTTTGATGTAGCGAGCTAAGCGAGCTGATTTCTAATAAAACAAGTTACGAGTACCTATTTCATTATCTGCGGAGTGTTGAGTTTTCACATCGCATAAAATAATAGCATTTAAACTATAGTATTATAATACGGAACAAAGATACAGACCCAATTTGCACGATGGGTGGGCCATTGTTGCAGGTGAGGAGATGGGAAGGTGGAACGTTTAATGTACATCTGTATTCGCAACGATTAACCGTTTCTAACGAAAAACGATTCTGAGTGGAGTTCGGTTAATAGTGTTGTTTTGTCAACAATAAATATGTCATAATATTATGGTAAAATAATTACATATGTATATTCTCTTTAATAACATTTTCCCGATTTTTCCATTTATTATGAAAACAGCTGGGTAGATCAAAAAATTACCTACCTAAAGTACCACCCCAGTCAGATTTGATTTCAGAAAAAGTGCTATAATTGAAAATCGGAACAAAACATCTGGTAGAAAAATGTTCACAAGACAAACAAAGTAAACATCATTGTAAAACCAATACGTTTCTAGCTCCGCTCGGAATTTACAATTATTCTTATGCATTATTCCAAAATATGTGATACCTATCTGGGATTCTTTTTAAAAACATATCAGCAAAAACGTTTTATAATTTTATACATAAAAAGTCTATAAGCGTTTTAACTCTTATTCTAATGAGTTCACCGACCTAACCAATGAAATATTACAGCGGATTAGTATACAACTTCACAAACATTATTAGGTATCTATAGATTACAAAGTGAAGACTTCAATACGGATACCTATTCAAATGTAAGTTGCCATTCAACTCTAAACATCTTGTACTTGTTATTGTAATAAATGTATATTCCAAATCATTCAGTGCGTCTTGAGTATATAATGGGCCCAGAGATCACCAAATAATCAATCTCCTCAGCCGGTACAGCGTCATTGTTAGAAAAGCGCCTTTCATTGCGATTAGATAATTGTTCTACGATTGGTTATTGTGTACCTTATAGTTTGTTAACTTCCAATACTTAAATTTAACATATGCCAAATAATTAAGAAGTGTTCTGTTTGGTAAAAATAAAAACTAACATATATTGATGTAGAATATATTCTATACGATTTTGTATCTCAAATGAATGGTGTAGGTAAATAACCAGAAAAGTCACTTTTATTTCATACTGAAGAAAAACGTGTTTTGAATTTCAAAACGTAACGATTTTTTTTATAAAGTAAAAAGTTCGTAAAAAGTTCGTATTAAGTTTAATGTTAAACTTTGAATTGTAATGACTACAACACAATAATAATGTCATATTATTATATTATTAACCACGGTTTTAGTCGTATACTAACCCGACACTTGTCTGATTATCAATTGATTTTTACCTTTTTTTTCCCTGCAGACCTAAATTTCTGGCGCTCATTACTTTCGACTTATCTGGTTTTTTCACCGGTTCGATCGCATAAAAGATACGGTAAGTACGCCAATTAATTATATGATATCAATATCATTATTTCGGAAGAAAAAGTGACTTTTCTGGTTTCTTGTCTCTATATCTTTCAAATATTAAATTCCAATTTAATGCTATGTGAGCAGTTATTGTTTTATAATATTAAATTTCCAACTACAAGGTTACTTATCATGGTCAGTTCCACTCTCACTCTTATTATTATTCTTATTATACTAGTTTAAATTGAATTTCTTAAGTAATTTTATTCTTAAATAACTATTATATTGGGTAATTATGAAACCGATAATAATTAATGTGCTCGTAATGTTACGTATATAAATGTGCGTTCAGTAAAGGTTGAAAAAAATAAAAAAATCATTACGTTTATACCGACCGTGGCGTAAGTGTACATACTAGTTTTCTGGGGGGGGGATTAAATTTTGATTGAATTAACATCACAGAAACTCGCAAAGGTTACAAATAAACGCGTAAGTAGTTCATTATTGCCTAGGAACTCGTTTCTATAAACTATTAGTAAACATAAATTGCACGCATGTCAGCAACTATTTTGAATATAACGCTTACGTGTTGTAACGTATACTGAAATTTTATTAGTTAATAATTTAAACAATTTTACCCCATTGTTCCCTTTATCCGATCAAACTGAAATTGTGCACACTGCTTTAGTTCTAACGATAAAATAGTTTTGTCCAAAACTATTATATGAAAACTGCAAGGAAGATCGACAAATGACCTCTCTAAAGCACTGACTATTGATTCAAAATGCTAAAAAAACATTTATTTGTCTTGTCGTTTTTTAATTGGCGCAAGATTCTTGGTAGAAAAGTTGTACACAAAGATCAAACAAAAAATGTAAATGGTATAAATTTTGAATTTTTAAAATCTATAATGAATTATTTAAACAGTTAATAATCTAATACATAATATATTATTAAAAGAAAAACATTGAATATATCGCCACTGACGGATATGTCGTTCACTAGATAAAGTCGTGTTCTTTCACTTCTGATTTAATCATATAAATAGAATTCGCTTTTTGTGAAGCCAAATACGTATCGGTTTCACTATTTGTTTTATACGATGAGTGCTTTTGTTTTATTTTCTTCGTAAAGATATACTATATGGCCGGAAGACTCGTTCCAATCAAATATTTTATTAGTTTTTTTTTTTTTTTTTTTTTTTTTGTGGAATTTCGGATCTTGTCGGTGCCTTGAAGAGGTCATTTTTTTTACAAAAGTTATTATTTTTCATGTAACGGAAGTAAACCGAAAAAATCTTTCCTAGGATAATAGGGACGGGTGCAGCCAATGTTGTAGGTGGTTAATTGGGAAGGTAGAGGGGAAATTTGATGTGTATCAACGATAAACCATTGCAAACATAAAAACGATTTTGAGCGGAGTTCGATTGATAGTGTTGTTTTGTCAATACAATATGTCATATATGGTTATCAGTCGCGTCGCGGTTGTTATAGTATACGGTTATCGTTTGCTCTCTTATCTGTTATTCGTTATTTTCAATATGCTTAACTCTAGGTCTCCGAAGTCTATTGCCGTTTCCTCTGATAATATTTTTAATGAAAAATCGAACAATCTCGTTGACATGGTATCTGATTTAAAATCATCTCGGAATAAAATTATTTCGTCTGTTAACTGATGCCGTGAGTCGTTCAAATCTCAAGAGAAGAAACTTGATTCTTTGTCTAAGCAATTAGCTTAGAAAATTACAGAAAATAACTCCGTCAAAGACAGTGTGCATAATTTGGAAGCAAAATTATCTGAAGTTGAACGTATTCAAATAAATAACAATACTAATTGTAATGAAAAATTGTTTTCTGAAATCAGGGACCGGCAGTCAAGAGCCCACAATATTATTTTATTTAATGTGCCGGAATCTTCTACCACAATTCCTGCTGATAAATGTAGTGACACTTCCTCTTTCCTTTATAATTGCTTTAATATTTTTGGATTATCAATGCGCCCAGTTTCTGTTCAGCATTTGAGTAAAGCCCCTGGTAAATCTCGCCCTTTAAGGCTTGTTTTACCTACGTCTGCTGATGTGTTTGAAATTTTAAAAGTTAAATGAGTCATCGAATCGAGTCACGTCTCTCCAACATTTAAAGGTGTTTTTAACAGCAGGCGATGCTAGTTTGATGTCCAATTTGATGGCTTACTTCGATTATATCTATCATTCATAAAATATTTGAATGTATTATTGTTAAAAGACTAACCCCATTAGGTAAAAACATAATTATTGAGGAACAACACGGTTTCTTCTCTAGTAGATCTACTACTACGAATTTGTTGTTATTCAAAAGTTACGTTCTAAATGCTTTCAATATGGCTAATCGGGTTGATGTAATTTATTGGAAAAACTCTTTGGGAAATCAAAAAATAACCTTATTAAATTACCACTTCAGTCAGCTTCCCTTTAAGGAAAAGTGCTATCGTAGTAAATCGGATAGAAATTGCAAACAAAATTTAAAATAATAATAATGAACATCAATGTAATCTAACCATTTCCTTCACTCAGAATCTAAAACAAAAATATCGGAAAAAATCGTGCGCAATAGTGGTTTTTGTCGATTTTGATCCGTTTACTGTAATTCAGTGATGAATAATCGCAGAGACCTGACATTTTTTCCGATATTGGGTACTGTCTAGACGCTAATTTTGAGTTATTTATAATTATTATTACTTACGTTTTCGATTTGTGCGAATGAAACATTTTTTTTTTTGTCCTTATATTAGTGATTGAAAATTTGATACGAATTTTCAAATAACGTTGTTCTTATGGACATGTAAAAACACCGAAAATCTGTCATCATAATAGATTTTAGAAGTTTCATTGAAAATGTCAACAAAACTCGCGCCCAATAACCACGAATTAATTTCTGATTTTCGAGAATCCGAATTTTTTTCCCCGGCACGATGAAAAAAAGCTCGGGAATTTTAATCGAATTTATATAATTTCGTAACGTACAGACGTGTGTTGCATTATCAACATTGTATAAACACCCCGCTCGTCTACAGTTGTATTATTGCTGTTATTGTAGCGTTGTGCGATTGTATGAAATATTATGGTGGTAGAAAGAAATTTGAAAAAAAAAAAGAAAAGAAAAGAGCAAAAACGCGTTATTTGACGTATCAGAATTTATAATTACTGTCGCCGTCGTCGGAACGTCTGTCGTAAACAAAGGACAGGAAGAAAAAAAAAAAAAAAAGTCGACCGCGAGCGAAAATCAGCTGTGTCGGTTAGCGAGTCGGTCGGCTCGCGAGCGCTCGACGCGGGCCGCAGAGGAATCGCTCGCGCATCGGCGGACAGGCACACCGACTGCCACGCTGTTCCCCCGCTCAACCGCCGCCAAAAAGCCGACCGCGCGGCACGGCGGCGTTCGCGCGCACCCGCACGGACACGCGAACAAGCACACTAGCGGCGCACGGCGTACCGCACTGCCGCCGAATTCGTTCAGTAGCACCGTAAACCCCGGACGCGCCGTTTCGTGTTCGACCGTCGCCTGTCCGTTTCGCCGTTCAGACAGCGCGATTTTCGTGCGATCGTTCGCGTCCCGAAAACGACGGTGCAGTACCTCGCCCGCCTGCACAAGCATATCGCGGCCGCGTTTGACAAAACGATAACCGCGTTGTTACGTGACCGCGGCGCTCGTCTCGTGCAAATGACGTCACGACGACGGTGGTCGCGTGAGTCCGCAACGACCCTCTAAGGGCTTCCGCGCACCGGGGCTCGCGTTAGGCGTTAACCTGACACCTACCCTACGGTGGTACGCGCCGAGAATAGGGGCCCGAGTGCGATAGCGACACACCGGCTATATAACAATTGTGCCATACCCGCCGACAGTCGAAAACTACGTCGCCGCCATGCCCACCGTCATATCCAAATACCTGCAGGACGGGGCCATCATGCGCCGGGACAACGTGAGTAAAGGCGTGCTGGCCGTGGCCGTGCTGCTGTACGGTTGCAAGATCGGTTACCCGATCGTGATGAAGGTTTGCAGTGGCGCCGCCGGCGGTGGTAGCGACGGCAAAGGAGCCGACAGCGGTCGACGGCCGTCGGGCGAGACCACCGACAACAATAACGTCAACAGCGTTAAAGGTTCGACGTCGCCGGTTGTCGTGGTTAACGGTAAAAAACCCGGCACGGCGGTGGCGGCGGCCAAGAAAGCGGCAAGGGTAGCCGGCGTGAGCCCGGGCATCGACCGCGAGTTTCTGGTCCAGCTGAAGAAGCTCCTCCGGCTAATGGTTCCGGGTTTTTGGACGCCCGAGGTGGGTCTGCTGTCCATGCACACGTTCGCCCTGATCTGTCGTACGTTCATGTCCATATTCGTGGCCACTATGGAGGGCAAAATGGTCAAGTACATCGTCCGCCGGGACGTGCCAAACTTTGGACTAATGCTGCTCAAGTGGCTCCTGTGCGCCCTGCCCGCCACTTTCCTTAATTCCATGATCCGGTACTTGGAGTGCAAGCTCGCCCTGGCTTTCAGGTATTGATCATATTTGTGTATTATTATTATGTCACGCGTCCAATTAAGGATGCTGTTCGGATGGTCCCTTTTACAAAAGTACGGTGAATTTTAGCAGGATGTAAAATATATAGGATTGAATGTAATCGGATGAAATCGGGCTACCGAGTGATAAGAGGATTCCAAATAAGTTGAATGGTGATTTTTACAAAACTCGTGAGATCGATGATATAGCAGTGATAGGAATGTTTAAATGGATGGTCGGAGTCACTACGGAGGAGAATAGAACAACAGCCGAGTTTATAAGGGAGTAGCATAGACGTTGTGTCGGTAGTCGATAGATGAAAAAGATAGACCGGAATGGTTGGAAACGTGATGAGTAGAGGCCGTAAGAGTTAAGGTTGAACACGATGTGGGAAACAGAGTCGAGTGAAGATGTAGGGCCAAGGTGATCGACCCCAATTAGTTGGAAAAAAATGATGGGCAAAAAAGATATATTATCACAGCATATTACACTGTTGATGCGTTATTGTCACAGTGGTAAACTGGACCGGCGTTAAGAAAAAAAGTCGTTAACACGTAAATCATTAAATGTTACGCGCGATGCCTTGATTTTTACGAATTTCGTCAAAATTTGAATTAAAAATGTTAAAAAAAAAAATATATATATAAAACTATACTATATGTACTATATTGTACAAGAGTTATTTAATTTATATACGCACGCTTTGATACATCATTGTGAACAAAAATAGATTCTGAGCGAAGTTAAGTTTAATATGTTTCGATGATTTTCTTGAAAATTATATAACTATAAAATAAATTAATACACATGATTTTAACAAATTTAATCATCTTAAATTTGAACTTAAAACGTTGATACAATTAAATTCGAGATTAAATAACATTTGAATCCACAAATAACAAAGAAAAAAGAAAAAAATTCGAAAATTGACATCTACTAAAAATAATACCTCAAAACACGGTAAAATTCTTTGTAAATTGAACCACGTATAAAAAGTACTAAAATAAGTTATTTGTAAAAGTTGCAGGTCTTTGCGATTCACTTTAACTGAATTAAAAAAAAAACGAAAAAGAAACTATAAAATCGAAAATAACGGGAACCGTTACATGTTCCCGATTCCTCTCATTGTTAAAAACAACAACAAAAAAAAAAAATACCTCCTTAATGTACTAACTAGACAAAGTTTCCGACCGGAAAGTTTCTATATTAAGTTTTTGTTCGGAGCTAACTTATTGTTTATTTTCAAAAATTGATTAAAAGTCGAGCAGTCACTAATTTTGCCCGCTGGACCTAATCAACCCGGCCCGCCGCTGTCGATTTAAGTTGACCGGGCGCCCCAAACATAAACTTTATGCCGTCCGGAATAAAAAGTAACCCGAACTTATATTTACGGCTCGAAAAAGGTTTATTTGTAAAACGTTACCTTCTTATAATATCAAGGGATGCCGTTGAATCACAGTTTATTTAGTAGGTACTTAAGACGGTTGTTTTTTGATATCCCTTGAAGTTTTTTTTTAAATATTGTTGGGGAAAAACGTAGGGGAAACGGGAAAGTTTACGGTTTCGTTATTTTCGATTTTATTTTTTTGTTTGAATTTTGATTTTTCTAGACAATGTGGTAACATTTTCAAAATTTCCGGCGATGTTTTGATTATTTATAGGCATTTGATATTTTCGAGATTTTTTTAGTTTTTTTTACGATCTTACGTAATATCGTTTCGCTGAACAGAAATGTTTGAAAATTCGACAAAGAGTCCATCGTAAGTCATACCTGGTTGTACCAAAAAATCGAGCCTTATGTTGTATATTTTTTTTTTATAAGGATTAAATCATTTTTCCCGCTTAAATTTTGACGATTTTATAGATTTTGTGTTTAAGATCTGAAAACCGCAAATACCGTGGCATTTAAAAACATTATATTTAATCGGCCTTCGCTCTGATGCGTACTGATACGTACAGTTGCGTACAGATACACAATGAATAATTTGATGAACCCTACCATCCCAATTATACAATACTGGCGCACCCATCAGCATTATCGGTTTTTTATTATTTTTTTTTTTATTTTTATATACCCGACGGACAAACGGTTAACAGAGGTAAACTTGGGACTTTGAATCGGCACATATAATCGACTAAATAATATTATTATTTCATCCCGGTTTCGTGCGTCGTTGTGATAATAACAATAATAATAATCACGTCTATTGTGTTCGCCTGTTTATAAAAAAAAAACAAAAAACACAATAATTTTCGTATACTGTACGCTATACGGTGTATAGTGCGACGGGGTTATAATATTATTTTGATTGTAACACAACAAAGAGCGCGTGACTTAGGTTATAATGACGTACGGACGAGCGGAAGTGATTCGCTGATTATCATTATACAGATAATACGATATTATTATTGTTACATAGCGATGCAGTTCCCGTACATTTTACACAGGAACAGTGTGCCGCCAAAGCGAAAATTAAAAGAAAAAATGGTCGCTGATGGGGGTCCCGTTGTTTTTGGAGGGAAGTTAGAACGGTGTATAATATGTGGAGTCGTTTAATCGTGATCTGTACGCAACGATAAACCCCATTGGTAATGAAAGACGATTGCAAACAGAGAATATTAGTAGTGGTACGTTTCCCTTGTTGCCGATGTAACCGGGAAGTTATACAAAATGTTTCCAGTTTTTCCCCGTTCGTTAAGAAAAACTACGAGAAGAATAAAAAAAAAAAAAAAAAAAAAAACAAAAAACCATCCTCTTAAAGTACCTAGTTAGATTGAAAATGCTATAAGAAAGTATTTGACTGGAGCAAGATTTTCTGGAGAAAAACTTGTTTACTACGGACACAAACACATCGTGGCGCGACCGAAACAGTCTTCGCGTCACAGTCCGAAAAGTAGAAAAAAAAAAAAAAAAAAATTAAGTTTCGAACAGAGAACAAAAAGAGTACTAGGGCTAAGTTAATCGATTCTAACACGAAGAAAGAGAGAGAGAGAGAGAGAGAGAGAAAAAAAAATGAAAATTAAACATTAATCGTTTCATTGATATTATAATTGGTGTCTATATTTATCTAATTTTATATTTCTGTATATAATTAAAACGTTCAAACGAGTACGTCGCTAAGGATGTTTTAATAACTATGTATATTTACATAATATTTTATGATAGATAATAATACTAATTAGTCGTGAACATAATGTTTCGGGTATAATTTTCAATACTCGTTTGAGCTCTTTGTAATGGCAGGTACTTGTAGTTTACATTTCCCTCTCCCCCCCCTTCGCACTATATTTATTATTAGGGCTGCGAATTCGTAGGAAAGTGTATTTATTTTTTTCTTTAACAGATTGTGAAAGCTGTGTTTACAGCTTACTAAATACATAATTTGAATTATGTAACAACAAAATTGATTTATGAAACTTTTATTTTGCAAATTTTTTTTTTAATTTTTAATATCATATTTTGGAATTTTTAAGTAAAATTTCCCTTCATATTTTCCGTTATTTTTAATCAAATTCCGTCATTTAACATCTTTACACATATTTTTTTGTTTTACACAAGCTCTGTACGGATTAAGTAAAGATAAGGGATTCGATAAATAAGAAAATATTTCTTAGATTAGTGATTTGTAGGCTTACGATATATCGGTATCAGTAACATCAAAATAAATATAAAAATTAAATTGAAAACCATTTTAAGTGCATTTTATCTTACATTTTTTGAGACTTTAAATGCATATTTTATTGCATTTTTTGACAATTGTCGTGCATTTTTTTAATGTTTTTCACGGAATTAAATTCGCAGCCCTATTTATTAATATATACAGTACTCTCGACAATTCGAAGAACTGTATAATTCGAATTAAAAGCTTTTTAGCTGTTATACGAGGCGTGTCCAGAAAGTAAGAGTACGGTTGGGCTGTCATGTTGTGACCATTTTTTTCTTTTAAAATTTGGCAACACCAAGTGGTAGTGGGAGGTTTTCTGAACATAACGAGCAACGGCGACCCTCCCTAGCACCAAAACTCGCCTCGTAGTGATTTTTCTGTGAAATGTGACAGTAAGAAATCCCGCCAAGTGCGAGGTGCACGCTATCAAAAAGTTCCTTTTCGGGGAAGGAAAAGTGCCGAGCTCCATTGTGACCGATTATGAAATATGGAAGGTTCATTTTACCACTGAGACAAAAAGACACATCAGTGACGGCACACGGGTTCTCCCCATTACCTAAAAAACCTTGTCATCCGTGTTGTGGGACCGAAAAGGGATATTTTAAACCACCCTGCTTATTCGCTGACTTGGCGCCTACAGATTTTCATGTTTTCGCGTTCCTGAAGGTGGCGGCGAGTAAAAATTCATCGTCTGTTATTATTGTTATTAATCTAATTTTATCCGATATTCTTAAATAATAATATAATTATAAACTGTAACTATAAAAAGAAATCCGCCGACAGTCGATGGAGTCGGTAGTTCTAGTCCGATCTACTGCAGTATAAAAACCGATACATAATCCGTTTTCGTAGTTTTTAAATATCACACGCGTTTTGATGAAGTTGTTTTTTATAATATCGCAATTGGTCCGAAAGAACGGTGAAATTTTCTTTTCGCTAAAAACTGGATGGCAATGAATGCGATGACGGCAACATTTTAAATCGTATTACGCAAATACCCGACACCGTTTAGCATTGTGAGTGTGTATAATAGTGTGTAGCTCGACCACGATTTATTTTCGTGGGAACTATTAGATTAAACGATATTATACATTTCGAAATCCTCGGTTATTTTTATGATAACTGTTAGTGCATTATTAATAGTATTATTGTTATTATTATAATACAATATTGGATAACATATCCCACAAAATTTTAAAATTAAATGAATCGTGAGACTGCTGATACACGCGTAGACGTCGTTTCAACGTCAGTTATACACTGCGACGAACGTACCAAAATTGGTAGATTGACGAGGAAAGGAATTGTTTTCAAAAAAAGAATACAAATGTTTCGCTTCAGTTCTTCATTGAGTAATAATACGTATTTCAGATTTCCAATAGGTAAATGATATTTTCGAGGAGTTTCGGAGACATTTAAATTATGTTAAATTTGATTTCAAATGTTAAATAGGATTGCTTAAATCAAAAGAAAATAATATCGTTTACCGTTGCGAAAATTCAAACGTTATGACCGATTTACTGTTTAACGATACATTTAAACGTTACGAGTAGTTTAGGGGTGAACGTTATAAAAAATTGAAACGTTATTTAATTCGAGTGCTTAAACGATATGAAAACTTAAACGTTTATAAAATTTCCGTTTAAGGTTTAAATGTTAATCGACTTTAGCGTATAACGTTTGAGAGATTTTTTTTAAACTTAGTGTTATATTAAACTCGTATAATTTATTGGCTATCAAATATATTTTGCGTTTTAACATCGAATTTAAAATTTAAACGTTCATTTTTATATTCTTTTAAAATAAATTAATCATTTTAAATGGTTTACTAATATTATTTTTTTTCGTTCATAGTAATTTTGAACTCTGAAGTTATACACTATTAAACATAATAAAAAATATATAAATTGTAATACACAAACATGATGACCCGATATATTATAAGTGGTATGTAAAGCATGTGCGATAACAAATTAAATTTTGTAACAAAAAGTAAAAACAAATTATTGTATAACGAGATAGAAATAACGAAGTTCCTTCAATTCTGACAGTTTGCAACTTGTGTATTTAATATTTAACCAATTCCAAAAAATACTGTTATGACAACATAAATGTAACCAGGAAACACGGTAACATAAACTATAAAATAAATTGTAAAATTATATTTTTTAAAAATTTTTATTTCAATTTAAATTAATGAATTTCAAGGTTCAACTTTAATTGTAAAAGTCATTAACAATTTATTCCGATTGAACGTCTCTGATCAGATGAAATTAATTTTAAACCCGAAATACTTTGCCCTACACTCACCTAAACAAAAATAATCGATTTAAAAACTAATCGATAGTACGCGATCTACAGTACAGTAAACCTTATGTTCGCCAAACAACCGAGAAACTGCCTGTTATGTTCCGATCGTTTATCGTTTTCTGTTACGTGAGCTGTTATCCGTTTCAATCGCTTATCGTTTATCGATATGTTATCAGTTATATCGATTCAAGTAGTTTTTAGAATCTCTATGGAGCCCTGGGTAAAAGTCGCGAACGCGGTCGGAAAATAGGAAAATCGTACGTTTGACAGCGAATTGAAAATTAAATTATCTATAGGCGGTGAATTGAAAATAATATTTCGTACAACGAACGTTTTACATATAATAAGTACCACGCAATATTCAAGGTACTCTACAAAAAATTCGGAGCATTTTTACTGACCGAAAAAATGTTGTCTGAGAGAATAAATCAGACCTTGGTAAAATCATAATTTCTTTGTTATACCCAGATTCTAAAACAGAAAGTAGTTGATGACATTAAATATAATTATGCGTTTTTCGATTAGAGGTTTGCCAACAATCTCGAGTAGATTATCGGACTTCACGATGACCGGCTCGCGAATAACATATTAATTTTGTACCAGTATTTTACCATATTGACGTACACTGTGCGTTTTGTTGTGTGCATATTATTTTGCTCCAAATAACCTACAATGACATCGATCGCGAACTGGGTGGCAATGCTCGCGCGCTTCTATATTGGTACCTATTATAGTCTATATAATCATTGACGTCTATTGTTATACCAGTTATAATAGTGTTTTATTTTTACGTGAGCATATTTAAAAAAAAAAAAAAATTTAGTAACCTAAGCTGAATGAAATTGTTTAATTTATGTCTGCAAGCTACGATGAATCACCGTTAACGCGTTATGGTTCTAAGAGAAGCTGTTTTAAAAAAAAAAAAAATTTTTTTAAAAAATTCTGTGAAGTATGTTGATGTATTACGTACATCTGTGAAAAGTTGGGAAGGCAAGATATAGAGGGGAATTTAATGTACATGTATCTATACGCAATGATCAATCTTTGCCTTATACTCAAGATTCAAATACGATTTTTTTTTTTTTTTTTTTTGTTTTCAAATTTAAAACAATACGATTTTCGAGATTTAGTGTGGCGCCATACGGGCACACTAAGCTATTGCGTAATATTGTATGCAAATATGAATATATAATATGCAGGTATCAAATAAATATACGTTTTTTTTTTTTTTTTTTTTTAATAATAATAATTATTTTTTTACCGGTGGAACCGTTCGGAAACGCCCGGCGGAAACGGGTTAATGAATTGTACGTTGTGATTTATGAAATATTTACATCTATACATTTAAAATCGCATGTATAACGCGCATGTCTGCACTCTCTCGACACAGGCTGCAGCGGCGGCCGACGTGCAACAGAAGCCTTTGCGGTCGTGGATTTCGAGGACTGTCGCGACAGCGACCGGGTGTTCGGTGCGGCGCGCAACGGGTACCACGACGGGCGTACAATTTACGCATTTACAACGCGTTAACACTCGGATGTAATGGTATTCCGTTTTGTACGGATTTCTCACCCGCGGCCGCCAGCCACCGCCGCATCGTAACATTATTACGATATTATCCGATTCCCCGATAATATCTGCCCGTCTCGCTTTTACTCTCGACGGTCCGCGTATGATAAAAATATCGTACTTTCTTCGGGGGGGGGGGAGGGGGGACCGGAGCTCCGTTATGCACGCTCACACGCACACTCGCGCACACACACACACTCGCGCTCGCACACACACACACACACATACACACACACACACACACGCGCGCGCGCAAGGCGCGTTCGCACGCCGACAACGGGACCGTAATAATTATTATTTTTTATGCAGCTGTATAACATTACTGTGACGCGTAATTACATAATTCGTACACGGCCAAAGGTGTACTGCACGGGCGTATGTATAATGGTTTTAACGACGTTTTTAAAAAAAAAAAAAAAAAAAACACCGTAAACCCATCGACTCTGCGAAAAATATTCAAATTCGCTTTCTAATGTAATATTTTACGCGTGCAGTCCCGCGCGTCGCCGTTGTCGTTTATCGAGTATTATAAATTGTGTTATTCGTTCAAAAACATTTCGCCACAAATTTCAAGTTTTTTTTTTTTTTTTTTGGATTGCGTCATGCACCTATATTAATTTCGTACGAAACAGTTTGTACGTGTAATACTTTTGCGCGTCCGTAAACATTTTCTCCAGGAATCGGTCTGTATTGAAACGAACGAAGAGGAGAAAATTACAGCAAAATGTTTAACACGCCGCACCAAGCCTATCGCCATGTATACGGGGAGGCGTTCTCGTTACTTTTATAGCAGCGGCATTTCTCGATCCGATCGTAGAATCTGTTATACCCGGAATATTCTATTGTAAAGCGTACGTGGTAATTTTTGTATTTTCAGTTCTTTTATTAGCAACATATTTATCGAATCGAGTAATCGAATTATCACCCCGTAAACAAACGTAAACATTTACGTAGCACTAAGAATTTACTAACAAAAATAAATTTCCAATGACCTGGATAATGACGATCTTTATCAAAGATTTTGTATCTTTTGAAGCGAGAAAAATGCCGTTTTAATTTGATATTCTGTACATTCTGTTATTATATTTTGTTCTTTGTTAATTTTTTTCTTGGAAAACACCGTCGAATACGTATAATACGTGCACGTTTTATTAACACAGAATACTAATAAACCGGAAAAAAAAAAGGAAAGTATGAAAATAGACGAAATATATATATAAAAAAAAAAAAGAAGATAAATAACGGCTAAAAAAGCAAAATAAAGTTTCTTCTACGTTTACTGATCACGCGCACCTAGCATAAAACGCATTTACAGTCGACGTTGCATCATACCGAACCAATTAAAAAATAAACAATGAAAACGCCTACGACATCCGAAGTCTATGTGACAAACCCAATCGTCCGTTTTATTCGATCAAAGACTGCGCGGGGCGCTATTAAATAGTTCAAAATCGTTGACGGCCCTGTCGTTAAAAAACATTAGCTCCCCCGGAATCGTAGCGGATTACACAGGCGTGGAGAAGACGATCCTGTCTACGCTATGGCCCTGTACGCCGCATTTATTGATTTTCACACGCGAGGGCGTTTTATTGTACTCGCCAGCGTTTTCGAATACAATATTGCGCTTGTTCGATTATCGAACCGTAGAAATATCGATAACCGTGATAAATACGGGTACCGCCGTGTATGTATCAGACGCCTACATTATGTCTTATTTGTATAATAATAATATTCGTATTAATAATAAATGTTTTGCTAAACTGCAGTAGTCTCAGCGTCGTCGTGACCTCAGAGCAGCCGCGTTACAGTGATCAATAACACTCCGGGAAAAGACGATTGTCTCTATTGTTTTTGTTTTTCTCTTCTCTTTATTTTCAAAATTACTTTTGTCTTTTAAATCTCGTGTTTTGTACGCTATTGTTTTTTTTTTTTTTCAAATACAAGTCTCGTAAACGACGAAAACTCACTTCGGGTGCCTTCAATACGTATTTATACGCGAAATTCCCTATATTATTATCATTTCCGTTTTTTAAACGAACGTATATTAAAATACTTGTAAGTGTTTGATAATATCTTCGTCTCGGAAAATAATTCAATATACAGAGTCAATCGAATTCCACGGTACAGTCGAATTGAAGTCCATGAAATACTTATTCTTAAAAAAAAAAAAAAAATAAATAAATAACTCGTGTAAAAACATTTTGGAATCGTGTATTCTGAAATGTTACATTGCCCCCTTATTTTCGGGCCGGATTACTACCCGATATTGATTTTCAAATCGATATTAAAAATTACATGAATAGATAGAGCATTTTAGTTTAAATGCATTTTGGTGTAAACACTTTTGATTTCCGTCGACCCGCAGACGAGATATTCCGCTTTTAAGTTTGGTTAAGTGGAGAATAGTGGAGCGTCGTTTGAGTGGCGGCACGGCACGAGACATTTGAATAGTACTCTACTACTCTCGTCTTACCCGAACTCGAAAGTGAAAAATACTATCGAACGAAGTGGTATTAGTAGTATTAACTATTAGTACAGTATTCTGCCCGCGTAACCAACAGGTAAGTTTACCCAGAAATCAAGAAATAAAAATAAATCCGCGTACCGACAGTATTGTCAGTTGTTTAAAATTGTGCATAGAAAAACTGCTGGGAATCTGAACAAATTTATTGAAACAAAATGCCATCAGACGAAAAATCCGCATATTTTTAGGTAAAAATAAATCAACATTTTTAATAATCGAAAAAATGTTTTTTGAAAAAAAAAAAACACACGTTATTATAGTAAAACTCATACACATTTTCAATGTCATAATTATTTGTACTCGTAACCATAATGTTTATTTAAACGAGAAGCCATAATAATGATTTTTATAGGGGTTTTTTTTTTCCATTTGATTGATTTTTTTTTTTTTGCGGTTATAAAGGTTATTATAGTTTAATATAATTTATGGTTATTGCAAAAGGTGCAGAAATATTATTATTTATTAACAACAAAAAATATTATTACAACATACGTGTATCGTTGTTAGTAACAGTTGACAAATTACCCGAAGGAATTTTCGCTTATTCGTCTAGAAATTCGCTAAATTTATGGATATTTTCGTACCGGTTTGCATTATATTTGTATACAAGGTCTCGTAACATCGTCGACTTGTATTTTTATTTATTTTTTTTTTTCAGTAGCAATAATACTCGTTCAATTCGATACTAAGTACTCAATCGTTGTAAAGCCGACCGAATAAAATAATGTTTACGGTGTCGTTTCGTCTTCGCCGTCTCTATACAGGTGTACGAGCGACGAGTAGGCTTTCGTAAAATAGTATTTTTTATTTTCGTTCGTTCAAAAACAATCGAATATCGCGCAGTCGAAGAAAATACGCGCGCGAGATAATAATATCTACATTGTTTATTATTACGATAATATTTGTTCGCGTTACAGATATGTTTTTAAACATGTACACTTGTATCAGAACTGGCGAATACTCATTCGGACAGTGCGCACAAGGTCACAGTCGAATATTAACGTCCGTATTCTATAGGTTGTATACATATTATTGACGCGTTTCACTGTCCACCGATAAAAAAAAAAAAAAAAACAAATAAATAAAAACGATTTATATACGTATTGTACATTGTGTGCTGCACACAATACTCCATTCACGCGGTAACGGACGGACAGAACACCCTACGCGCGATGTAATATGTACACGGATCCTTCCGAGTCGCAGCGCTGTTATTACTACGCGACTAAAAGCGTATAGGAGTGCGCGGAGTAATCCCCGTAATCCCGTGCGCTCAAAAAGTCAAAACTCTAATAGTGTTATGAAACTCGGAGTAGGCGCCTCCGTTTTATTGTACAATATCGGACGGGGAAACTGCAGTGCGGAAAATTACGTTTCGGACATTCTATGTTGCGGATTTTCGCGTCCCGGAAACGATGGCTTACCACCCCGGAACGCATTGTTAATAAATTAATTATTAAATCGAACGATTGATAATGTCGTTTGGTTTGAATTTATTATCGTGTACGTTGTACTATTATCATATGCGTAACGCGACGGCCGTGTTGATGTTGTTGAACTAAATCAACACGTCCGACAATAGAATAATAATAATTCGTTATCGATTTTTTTTTTTTTATATATATGTATTCGAAAATAAATAAAAACGATAATTTAATAATAAATATAAATCTGCTTATCTAATAGTTTTACGCATACGCGGTATGTTAATCGAAGTCGATAAACACCATTTGTAAACACGCGAGTGATCGATTGATATTATAGTATACACAGTCTTTCGAATTTAATATTGTAATCAAACGCGAAATACTTAGTATTAAAAAAATTGACTTGTGTAAAAACTTTTTGGAATCATATATATTCTAAAATGTTACAAAGGTCGATATATTTATCCGCCTTAATTTTTGGGAGCGAAACCACTAACCACTTAGAATTTTCGAATGGCGACCTATATTAAAAGTTCCATAAATAAATGACGATTATTATCCAGGACAAGATAACGAGGAGAGCGTTTTTTTTTTTAAATGGACATAATGACATGCGTTTATAAACGAGCTGAATGACAAATCAAGCTAAGAGTATATTGCAGCTTAAAGTGTATTGGAGAGCGAACGCCTCCCCCCTGGATCCCTTACTGTATAGATGGCACGTTCGGAGGTAGCGTTGTTAAAAAAGAAGTGAAGCGAACGACAGAAGAGAATTTGTACATATATTGTTTTTTTTTATAATTGACGCAAAAAACAATAACTTGCAACATAATCATTTGTGTGGCGACGAGGCTTACGGCGTTTGAAAGGTTTAAAAGGCTCAGCTCTTCTGTCTTTATATCCAAATTTAAAAGTGGACTGTATCGTTAACAGATTGATGGAAATTAAAAACGTCAACACTGAAATGTGTTTTAAACGAATTTTTAATATAGATTGCTTTTTGTAAATAAAAAATGGATAGCGGTTTTATAACGAAAACGTAAAACTACGTAATATACGAATGCCGAAAATTGTTTAAATGAGTCATTTTAAAATTCGACTATTACTTGCAATTCGAAAAACCCTGTATACACATATAGATATATGTTTTTTTTTTTTTTTTTTATCTATAATTATTCGTTTGTTACGTTATTGATTATATAGGACTCGTACTATTGCTCAACACCGTTTACACGCGATTATGACACATTATTGTTATCACACAATAATAATATTATTAATTAGATAGGCGGGCACCATAAAATATCATTCTATGCATAGAAACACTTTGTTGGTATAAAATGATAAATTGTTATTAGTGTTGACGACCACAACATAATCTATAATAATAATAATAATAATAGTAATAATTGTATAACTACGCGCCCGATTTGGCGTACATTTATCTGAAAAAACAATGATAAAAATAAGATTAAAAAAAAGCCGGCCATATCACGCACAGCTGGTGGGCTAATATTGCCATAGGTGGGAAATTCGGAAGGTGCATACTTTAGGTTAAATTTGTTTGCATATACTACAACGACAAATCGTTGCGACCGAAAAACGATTCCGGTCCGGAAATTAACAAAATCAGAGCCAACGGAAAAAAATTTCGTTTTCTTTTAGAAAAAATTCGGATAAATACTTCCGTTGCGTGCGCGATCGTGCCGCAATGCCGCAATTTATTGGCAAGACGTCGATTTCCCCCCCCCTTCTCCGAAATATATCGATATAACAATTCTTTCCTATATCCGTTCGCCGTCTCTGTGCACAATACCATCATCATCTCTAAAACGCGGTGCAATATTCTTTCCTTAAAAAATAACGTGTCGCGATGACAAATGGCCTCTGCGCGCGAACACGGCCGACCATCAATCTCTCGTCGATTACACGCCTCATACACATGATGTAGACGCGCGGCGTGCGCGTGCACATATTACACACGTATATATATAATAATAATAATAATAATAATAATAATAATAACAATAATAATAATAAAACGAATCGAATGTTACAGTATCGATTTTTTAATATTATTTTTCATTAGGATCATTTCAAGCAAAAGACCGCGCGTAAAGTCTAACGACCCCAACTGCGGACACCGCGCGGCCCAGCGCTCCGAGCGCTTATTATATATTATTATTATAGTGCGGTTACGAGTTATAGCGGTTAGATATTATTATTTATTTTTTTTTTTTTTCATTTCATTCTAACGAACGGTGAAAGGAAATCGTCGTACTTTCGAATTGGAAACTGTGACAAAGTTACATATTATAGTTTTGCGCGTCGCGCCGGTGGTCTTAGCCGAGTAACCGGTAACTGTACCGCACCTGGGCGCGTACATATGTATATCTTCGGTTCGGACGAGAAAAGGTTCAAAAGTCAATTTCGTATAGTTTTCAATGCGAACAAATTCGATTTCGAGAACTGCTAAACGACGCCGTAACGGCAAAATCGTTAAATATTGCTACGCCTGTACAATAAGTATTGGCGTTTTTCGAAACCCAAATTACTATCAGACTTTAGGTACACGTTTGGCTTTCGGTGTAAAACGTATACGAATATACGTACACGCATACTTACGCCAACAAATAAAGCGGGGGAAATAATTGCCCAACACAAAATTATAGAAAACAAAAAATGTCTACAATTCGACTTAGTTCTTCTTCCCTAGAACCAAAGGGAGTCTGCGAAATTCTTTTAAAACTTGAACAATGCACAATATACGTATCGATATCATATTCACTTTGATAGTTTAGTAATTCTAAAGTTAATTTTCGCGCAGTAAAAACCACCGTACTCAACGATATGAGTTCATGAATGCCGATACTTTTACAGACTCGTGTAATATTTGTGCGTATTCGATGTCTATACGGGTACAAGTCTCTCCACCCCCGATTGCGGTTTTGCGATCGTTTATACTCGGGCACCCATTGATAATAGACATAATTTACAAACATATTTCTGACGATTATTCGATTTGGAGACGAATCGCGCGTTTGACAATTCGGACGGTCCGTGTGAATTAAATAGTTCGTTTTTTTTTTTTTTCTCGTAACGGCTATACGGTGAATTCCGACGACTTGAAAATTAATCTGTGACGCGACATTGGCGCGAGCACTGCAATATAAAATGATATCGATAATTACACCGCGACTTATACCATTTCGATTTAACTGTACGTGCTATTTGTGTACAACGTAAGTAAACGTAAGTCTACAAATAAAACTGGTAATATATATTGTGTACCTATACAATAGGTATAGACCGACGAGTTATCAAACAAAATATAATTTTGTAATGCGTGCAGCGCCAGTCTCGACGTGATATTATCAACGCAATACCTATGGGATTCGAGAAAGATGGTCGAGATTGGAAAAATGATGTATAACCTAATTATTACATAACATAACAAGGGGGGGGGTGGTGAACCGTGTTTCGTGTAAAGGGAAACGAACCAATTCAAGCCGATTTCAAACCCTTGGCCCCTTAAGTCGATTTACGGTATTTTTATTTGTATTTAATTGTGTTCTGCGGCGGCGAGTTTTATTTGCGGCCCAAACGTTCCTGGTCCAAACGTGCTCCGCCCGTTGCGGTAGGTGCGATATTCGCAAATATAATTTTTAAAAACGAATGCTCTCAGCTCGGGCAATCGAACATACGGTGTTATATTATACGCTTTTGCTTAGGAGTTTTTAAATTATAATATTATTTATTCGACCAAAATTTAAACATTTATCTTTTTTTTTTTTTTTTTTTATGTATAGTATAAATTAAATGCCTGAATATAGTATTGTAATGTGGTATAAAACCAGTGCCGTCGTTTCAATTTTTTTTTTCCTTCGACTCATGCGTTTATACCGGCCACAAACCCAGTCTAGAATTTTCAACATAAATAGTGCTATATTTACGGGAGGGGTGGAAGAGATCCACGTACACTAGAGTATATTTTAATATCGATCCCCTTCAAAAGAATGCCTAGGTACCTAACTGTTATAAATTATGCCTGCCCATCGGAAATTACGCCACTGAACACAACAAAAATAAAATAACCGACAACAAATCTATTTAACCATCTAGTAGTAGGTGTATTCAGCGGCCTACGCAGGATGAGGGGGACTAAAGGGCCGAAGTTCCCCCATCGATCGTATTTATATTTTTCAAGTTTCAGCTGTAATAATATGCAGTAATAATAAGGACTATTTTTCATAAAATACGTCATACTCGTTATAAACAATGATTTTGTTATTATTACAACTTAGTAGTTAGTGTTACCGTACGTACGCGGGCTTCCGCACAACCTTAGATTAATGTCTATGATTTAAAATTGTAATATTGAATTTACTGAACTGATGTTAATAACAACTGACGCATCGTTAAGTCAGCCTACAGATGTTATAGATAATACTAATATAACTTTTAATTGGTGAACGATTATTAGGTAAGTATGTAGATAATTTCGTTTTCACTTATTTATCTTGAGTATCAAAGTAATAATATTCTGTATACGTTTTATATCTATAAGATATACACTCGAATTCCCATTTGAATCCTATCTTCCAACTTTCTACACACAATGGCGGCCGCGTGCATTGAAATAACTAGTATAATTATGTCAGAATTGAAATGTTATATTTTTTTACGGTATAAACCGACAATAAGGATATTATCAAATAAAATGATTTATGATTATGAACTTACGAGTTATAATCAAGATTTCAGATATCTTATTCAAGTGGTCAATCGTTATCAAAGTTTACCATCCAATCAGTAACCGCTTAATAGTCGGTGTCTTAAACCGCGATATCGTATTCACGGATAATTATGTAATATTATGAGGAACTTGATAATCACGGACAATATCTACGTAACGCTCCGATCCCGTTTTCGTCTTTCGAAATCAAAAATGAAATATTAATTTTAGAAACGAACCGACGAGGCGCCGTTGTTCGGGCCGGACGATTTGTAAACCGGGCCGAATCACTATGAAACGCGACCGCGTACGCCCGGGGCGGTCCGGACGACGCCTCTGGGTGTGCAGCGCGTTACGGGCGCGCGAAACAAACCGCGCGGGTCGTGCCTATCCGGCAATTCGCCTGGCCACCCGGGCGTGCAACGCGGTCCGGGTCGAGTGGGACAATCGCGACAAACTCGCGTAAGTCCCGTTGCCGTTATCGGTCGTGTATCGCGGCAACCGCCGCGCGGCGCGAAAACCGATACCCGGGCGCGTCCTCGCCGCGGCCAAACGGAGATCAACGCGATGTTGTGCGGCGCGACGAGATCACGGAGCGCGCGGTCGCGCCGTGAAATCGCGACGCGCGCGCCGGCCGCGTGTGCAGCGAGAAATCGTTACAATAACGACGCGTCGTCGTAATAACGGGCCGCGCGCAGTGCGCAGTGCGGCGGGCGACTGCGAGCCGGCGGGAAATAAAAGTCGTCGGTTCACTCGCGTCGAAATCGCGGATAATATAAAAATAAAAAAAAAAATAAAAAATAAAATAAAAAAATAAAAAACGTTCGTCGGTTCTCGTACGTCGACACGGCGGCCGCGGTTTTACGCGACCAGTCGCAAACCGCGCCTACCATAACGATTGCGCGAAAACCGAAAGTAACAATAATCATCTACAGTAGGTATTATTATTATTATTATTATTATTATGGTATACGTCTGCCGCCTTCCGTTCCGTTCGCGGATGTTGTCGGTGTCGTCTACAACGTGCGCACGCATAAAAATTGTTTGTACGCGATTTTCGCGTCGCGTCGGTGGCCCCGTACAGCGCGGTGTTACGGTTACCGGTACTATTGTCGTAACAAATCGCACGCGCACGTTATAATAATAACAGTGCGTCCGTGTCCCAGTCGTTTTGGCCAATTTTTTTTTTTGGTTTTTTTTTTTTTTTTAATCGGAAACTCGACACGTCCGTGGTATGCTATAATATTGTATTGTATAGTGGAAAAGAAAAACAAATCGTTTACTGCGGCGAACGAGTGAGACAGCACCAGAAAATAAAAAAAATATCGTAATTCGGTAAGTTCGACCTTCGCGCTTCGTAGATCTACAACACAAGAACAGCAACAAAATAGAGAAAATAAATACTCTACCCGGTCGGCAATCAATGACAAGTTTATATTACAGTGAACCCTGCGGCCTGCAGTCTACACCTGACGCTTGCAGGACCAACAAAACGTCCGTTATGTACAGCTGTCCGTTGTGGAGAGGTTCTAGTGTTTTTAGTCGAATTTATTCGGCTAAATGCTTTTCTAAAATTGTTTTAGGAGTTTAAGAACAGTCGAGTCATTATTGTCTTTGCGCTGAATAATTTTCACAATTTGCTTTAAATCATAAACAACCTATTCTGAATAAACACAGTGGAATTATTAAGGTTTCTAGTTAAAATATGAGAGTGAGATATAATATTTTATCTGTATTAACTACGCAATAAACGTTATCGGTTTTAGCGATACAAAGTGATTAGTTGGACGTAAAATTCGTTGGTTTCCTTGGTTTCCCTGTAAACATTTTGCCCGGTATACCGTGCCAACGCACACAGAAGTATTTAAGTGATAAAAAGGTACATCATAAAGCATCACTCGAGAACAAGTCAAAGTACGTGAAGAGATCTATTTCAGCGTAAAACACAGCGGAGAGAATCCCGAGCATGGGGTTTATCTTCGAGATTTACGAACAGCCGACCAAAAATCAACACACATATCGGGTAGATATATAGATAACACGGCACAGAAGAAATTCCCCACAAATCAATCATCGGCACGGTTTAAAATAATTAAAAAAAATTATTATTTAAACACGGCCCGTTGTTTACTCCACCATGTCCAAAGAGTGAGGACCGTTCGTGCTGCAGTGATAGCGAAAATTAATTTTTAGACGACTTATTTGTGCTTGTTTAGCCTGTACAAGTCGATCAACCAAGACCATAATTTTATAAGAAAACCATTTAAGATGTTTCTTTGTTGTAAGCAGAAGAAGTGAAGAAATATAGCCATAAAAAAAAAAAACAAATTATTATCCTTTCGGTTTATTATTAAAAATCAAACGATTTTGTTTTTATTGTTTCGGTGTATCGTGAAATATCACGGCGTATAATATTTTAGTCATGGTACGTGATTCAATCTGATTTTTTTTTTAATTCATACTAGTTCTTAGGCAGGAAAATAAGTCGTTTATTATTTTGTACGTTTTTCTTCGCTGCTGTGTTCAACGCTTCGTTTTTTTAGAAGAAACATTTTTTACAATGTTGAACAGGATCACACATTGTAACAAACGGTGAGTAAGTATATGTGTGCGTTTTGACAGAATGAACTCGCTGTAACGTGTGGCAGTAGGTGTAAAATATATTTCGTACCCGAGTATTCTGAGACGTTTTCTGAATCCCGCGGTCGATACCACGGAGACGGGTTTTTACACTGCAGCAATCTCGTTGTCACAATTAAATAATTCACACTATAAAAACACATGTTTCATTTCAACTATTATCAAAACTCATATGTTCCTTTCTAGAGTGTCAAAAGTCATATTTCAAACTTCGACCAAAAAAAAATATAGAGGTTACGACTAAAATCTTAACTTTTGATGGCAGTTTAGAGTTTTTAGTCTTAATTGCATAAACAAAAATATTTTCTAGACTTAACCCATCTACAACATTGACTTATCCACGGTGCGAAGTACATATTTTCCGATTTCATTTTTTTTAAGTTTGTTAAGTAAGTACTTATTTTAAATTTACTGAGTTAATCTAATCGTATCCAGTTCTCTCTGTACAATATATGAATATGTATATAGGCACGTCGTCGTTTAATTATTCACACGGAATTTTCGTAACAATAGACCATCAAGGTAATGTTAGGTTAGGCTACCCACCTCACCGAGCGTTATAATAATAATATTGTCTCGTGTGTCTGCTAGCTATTATGATTACAATATTATACTATATTGTCTTGCTTTTAGTTTACATTGATACGTCATCTCTACATTTTTATAGTTATATATTTTGTTGTGAATAAAGGTTAGGTTATAGGCATAGGCGTGCGCAGGGGGTATGCAGGGTATGCGGTTGCATATCCTGAGCACTAGGCTCGGATTAAGAGGGGAGAATAGGGATCTACGTCCCCGTGGTCCTCAAAAACCATATTATGAGTGAAATCAAATATTTGCAAAATATGTACGTTTTGTGTTGTAATTCAATTTGAATTTTAAGTAAAAATTACATTTTTTTATTAAACACAGTTGGTAAGACATTTCAATATTTGTGTATATTTTTTTATCAGAGTTTTACGAACTTAAAATAACATTCAGAGGCCATAGTGGCAGCCTTCTGCGTACCCTGAAAAAGAGGCTTACCCACGCCTATGGTTATAGGTATAATATTCAATATTAACCATGTCTTTTTTTTCGTGTATAATAGAATATATTTGAAATGCCTTTATACCTAACCTAACCTTTGTTTTTTTTTTTTTTTTTTACTCTCAGTCTGATACCCATTGTGTTGTATGATATAGGATTTGACCCGAAACGTCAATTTTTCAAAGTGAGTAGTACAAAAAATTTGGGTCAGGAGCTGGAACTGAAGCTATACTAATGCAAAAGGGAGCTACATTAATATACACGGGAGCTCCCCTGTGTATTAATATTATAGTTCCAGCTCCTGACCCAGAACTGCCCTTGTTGTACTACTAAAGAGCTTTTCAAATATCACGAGTTTATTGAATAAAATCAAAGTGTATTTTATATTTTCTCAATTTTTAGTATATTTAGATATTAGATACATTATATAGTTATCGTTAACCAATATCTATGTAAAACGGACTTGTATCAACGAAATATGTGGATAAAAAGAAAAGGAAACAATCTAAACTTCCGAGTTTGAAGATTGATTACATAGTGTTTTGGGTTTCGGCGCCGTATATAAATACAGTGTGTTCCACAAAGATACGCCCAATCCGATGTCTCGAAAAGTATTTACTTTACTAAAATTTTATATTTCCATTATATTTTCCTACTCTTATTTTTGTTGGTGAACCGACTACCTACGTTTAATTTTAAGATCGCAAATAATATTAAAAATTCCATCCACATATAAGGTATTTAGACTACACTTTTAAGTTTGGGTAAGAGGAATTTAGTGGAGGATCATTTGTGTGCTGGAACGACACGCGGCGTTTGAACAGTGTTTGAACAACTACTCTCTCCCTACCCGAACTTAAAAGAGAAATATCTCATCAGCAGGTTGATAGAAATTAAAAACGTCAACACAAAAATGTATTTAAACTTCGTCAATTTATGGAATTTTTAATAATGTTGCTTTTTGAACATCAAAAGTGGGTTATGGTTTTTTTCACCAGAATGAAAAGCAAAAAATACAGACAATGTATAAACCTTAGTGTTGCTTATTTTTGAAATTGACAAAAAAACAAATTCTGAAAAAAAGTTAGTACCTACTTTTTGAAATATCGCAACAATATAACTTGAGACTAAAATATGAATTTTTTGTACAGTGGTGCTGGGATAACGTATTTACAGTCAGTTGCGAAATGGTATTTTGCGGGAATTTCCGTCGTTGTCTAGTATCACAGCCAAACCGCCAGTTGACCGGTGGGCTGAATAATTTAAGTCTCTATTTTATATGTATAAATAAATATGCCTGGTGATTTTTCCTATTATAAACCAGCGATTATCTACGATGTTTTTGATTTTTATGGATTTTAGCGCTCTTGTATACCAAAATACCCGCCAAACGAAATGTGTGTATTCAAGCGATCTATGCACGTTTATAAATTATCACTGTGTACTTCGGCTGTATTAACGTATGTCTTTAAAGCTAAACAAAATAGACATTTAAATTAACAATAAATAAATGAAATGATAGATTAGTCGAAGTAGTTAAATACACCAATAATTTTTAGCGCTTAGTTTTACTTTACCGTGTTTAATATCTGAGACCTCGACCCTTGTGTATTATTTCTCAGTTACCTCGGTGCAGTAGGGAGGTACACAAATGTGTTATTACTTATCAGTTATATTATGTCAAACGTGTTTCAAAGATACAGAACAAATTAATACCTAATAATGTAAAGTGTGTGCGTGTATGGTTACTGGTAATGGTATTGCTATACGAAAAATAAGGGTAACATGAAATTTACATGCAATTTTCGATTATATTACAAGCGCTGGTCCAAGAAAAAAAAAATCACTCTATATATTTGAATGTGCGTATATCATATTATTATAATAGATACGTGTGACCTTGAGCGATTTGCAAACAATATTGTCACCGTCACTCTTTTAATAATTCGCTTTTTTTTTTCTTTTTTTATAGTAATATTATGCGCACAGGTATACGATGATTAGTCTCGATCGGAGTAACTGTGCAAGTTCGTTATATTCTTCCTCGTCGGTGCGTCAAACCAGGCAAGTGATTCAGAGGGCAGGACACCCCTTTTTTTCGATAATTTCGTATGCAGTATAGAGAGTATACATTTTCTAGTTTGGTATGATGTCCTTCCCCCATAGACCTCTTATCTCTCCGGTCCTGGGCCAAAGTATATACATCATCGATCAATTTAATTGTGTTTGGACATTTGGCAGTAATCATCGATCATTGTCATGACGGAATCTTTTCTTTATTTTATGCTCATCACACTAGGCCTCATCTAAGTTTTAACCTTTTAAATCACCAGACACTGTTCAATGACCTCGATTTTAGGTAGATATTTTTTTTTTTTCCCCATAAATAAATCCTTAGATTTCCTTTTTCACAGATTACACATATTTCACATAAATATAAACACTTCAGTGACCACTGACCGGGAACCGCTGATATAGATCATCGAGAGGCATTGTTGGCAAAAGGCTTGTCATAAATTGTACTTAGAAGTGAAACAAAGTTTTGGCGTTGTGTAGTCAAATTAGTTTTTATTAGCATTTAAAGTTCATATTTTAACGCGAGTCACAAAAATCACGGAATTTCAAAACATGTTTAACCGAAATCGGTTATCGTTATCAATAATATATCGTTTCGTACAGATAAATTAATACATTTATTTCCTTTTTTACCAAATTTTCACCTACACACAGGTGTTACTTCAATCATTAGTATCAGATCATCTTCAGAGATAAAACACCTGCAATATTATATTTTTAAACGACAACATTATGAAGAACAAATCCTCGGCTTTTTTGAAATATTAATTATTTAAAAATGCATAGTATTATTTAAAAAAATAATAATAATGATCTTAAACATGATTGTTTGATTGTTTTATCTTCGTAAAAAATAGTAAAATATTAGAGAAGTTTATTCAACGATAATAAGGTTGTTCTTCAAAATAATGTCATCTATACATTTTATACCTAATAAGTTTTATTTATCTCTAAAACCGATTTTAAAGGCTTTTATGTTTATTTTAAAAGAACAGACAGAAAGAAGACAGTAAAAATGGCTGCGACCGGTATGGAAATTTATTAAACGCATCTTATTCATTAATCCGTCCGAAACGCCTGTGTAAAACACTTATTCGCACGGTTTTTCGACGCTATGTTTATGCGCAGATCAAAAACAGCGTGTGACACACGGAGTCGGTTTCGTGTGTTTACGTGGTATTTACCGGAATATAGGTCGTAAACGTATATGTATATTCGAGTTGGTTTATATTATGTTGTGATGCGTGTGTATAACAACGTCACGTAATGTCGTTAATTATAATAAATAAAACTAGAAAAAAAAACCGCGTACGTTTGTCGTACAATTTTGAGAATACTTTCACGTCTTCGTTGCGATTTTTGGGTGGAAACAAAAAAAAAAAAAAAAAAAAAAAATACAAAACACCAGCCGAATAAATAACGATATTGTTCTCCAATTGTATACACTATACCATTATATAATAAAATACGTACATTATCTCGATTAGGGCCACTATCATAAAATAGGTACGCATACTATTTTAGATAAGACGCGCAGATATCCGTTGTGCATAATATTATTATTGTATTAACATATTTATCGTCTTCTATAACAGTGAAATTAAGTGGTTTTTTTGTTCTGTGCGCGATCCACAGCCGAATCTATCGCGCACAAAGGTATGATAACATGCCCTTAGGTAAAACAACATAACAACATTGTACTCGAGGGAGCGATTTCTGTATTATTATTATACAAAAGAGAACGACAGAATATATGAGTATATTCGCAAGTTTCAAACGTTTCGTGTTCGTTTGCTGTAATTGGGAGTTTTTCAAGCGTTACTTTAGCAAACTTTACGAACGCCGACAAACGATAGCATTTGAATGTTAGTAACAAAGGGGAAATAATTGTACGATTCGTTAAAAACACGTTTGAAAGCACGAGTATCAATAGTAAAAAGATATTTGAAAATACTGCGAAATAAATATTATCTGAACCTCCTTCCCCGAGGAAATTTTGGATTTCCTATTCCATGGCGGCACGTTTTATACGCTTATATTATTTTGAACATGTGTAATAACTCCATTTAATTGGATATTCATTTTTCTGACACTAAAAAATCAAATTAAAAAATTGTCGTTTTAACAGATGTTATTTTAAAGAAATTGTACGAAAAACTAAAAAAGCACAAAAAAAAACCTCGAAAAGTAAAATAGACCTAAATATGCAACAATACGCGACATTAAATTACTTTTTCGCATCTAACATACAATACGTTTCATTTTAGCCGGACATTTGTTTACGCCCCTTTATGACAACGACAGCGAATATTCAAATGTTAGAAGTCTTCTGCCCTATTCATAGATAATATATTATTTTTATTACATCTCGTAAACTATAAATCCCCTAGCGCGAACTCCGCTTTCAGTACACATCCGGTAGACATCTAGTTTCGTCGAGTCTCTTTATTCGTGCGTTCTGTTTTTTATTCGTGGGCTTTATTTCCGGGATACGATTAAGATCCCCGGCAACGAGCGGGTATCGAAAAAACGCGCATAACGAACGCCGTGCACGTCGTATATAATATTATTATAGTATAAATTACAAATTGTACGTCGACTATTGGGAGTTAGGTTTTGGTGATGCACGTGGTCTTTACGAGTAATTTCCGACGTCAATGACAACGGGTGCCACGAGAATATTCATCGTGACGTCCTCGCGGTCGAGCTCCACGCACGTCCGTTTCATAATACATCACAATCTACATAATAATATTGTTATTATTCGTATCGTTATGACTGACGGTTGTCATAAAAATGTATATTTTTTAATGTTATATATATATATTGCATTTATTCAGTGGGGTTCATGCGGCGAGACTGTAAGGGATACAAGTATTATTAGAGGTCAGCATTTTTTTCGGACTTATTTAGTTTGCTCCGGCCCAAAAAAGAAAAAAGCAGCGATGTCGTCAGCAGCTGATTGTGATGTAGACCATACTCCGCACTGGTGGTTTTACGGGGAGCGATAGATCACCTCCCCCCCTTCTGACCTTTGTTTATGTAAATTCGGGAAAAACTGAGAGAATAGGTACTGACTATATAGTCTATAGGTATTGAGGTAGTATTAGGACAACTGAATGAAGGAGAGTTGATGAACCAGTCAATAGAATATGTAGGTGAGTTGGGAGTCCAGGTAGAACTGGTAGAAGTGGACCAAAAAAAAAGTAACAAGTGATTATTAAAAAAGATATGACGAAGGCATGCGGTATTATTGCGGGGGTGAACGAGAAGGAAATCTCAGAGTGCCTCAATGTTTTCGCTTCACTCTGCGTCTATTACATACGATGTGTGCACCGTGTGCAGCGTGATTGGTGTATCTACGTACAATATTATATTGTATACGATTGCGTTTATTATAATAATGTGTATTGGCTTCCGCCTCATCATTTACCGACCAAACACGCGGGTACACGCGCTACGAATTAATGTGTTATTTTGTTGTTCCCCGTCGTCGTCACCGTCGTGTCATATACTCCTCGGAAATTCGTAATTGCCGCACGTTTCAACGGTAAAAAAAAAAAAAAAAAAAATAAAAAAAATAACCCGACAATAAGTATTATTATAGTCAATGCGACTCAGTGGAGAATTATCAGTCGTACGAGCGACTGTACGTTTTGGGTTCTCAAACGTCGATCACGATATATGAACTTCATTTTTGAGCCCAAGTCAAATGCCGAATGTTCTTATTTCGTTCTCTTTTTGTTTTTCGTGTTCGAAAACATGTCTCTGTTTTATAGATAGACGTTTTTGAAAGTTTTTGTTTCGATGCCCCACAGCATCGAATCGCGAAATGCAACGAGAATATTATGAGCATGTACCGTGGTGTAGATTCTCGTTACGAAATTTTTTTTTCTCTTCTTTAATTAATCAACTATCGCTAATGCGTTAAAGGAAAACCTAACATAAATTATTACGTTACGTTTGTCGTATTATCGTTTTCTGTATCTTTGTCTAAGATGATATTTAAAAGAACAAAAACCATAGAAATTCGCACGCTCATCGTGTTGTGTGCTGAGCCGACAGGCGAAACGACACAGACTTAGCAGCGCTGCGCGCGCCCATTGGCCAAATTCACTTTTCACTTTTTTTTTTTTCCATCACTTTCGTCGGGTCCTTTAATAGTTCGCGTAAAATATTACGTGTAATAACACATTATACTAATATGTAATTATAATTATGTAACATTATAAGTTCGTCCTCCTACAACATAAGTCGTGCAATCATCATATTTAAATTACAATTTACGCTATCGTATAGCGAGGTGTTATTAAGCCGCGGTCTCTGTTCACAATTGACGAAAATATAATGTGGTATTCAAGATTATATAATATATCATGTCCCAAGTGTATACATCAGTTTTAGATATTATCTTCCCACGTTGGAAACGATTAAATAAAACGTTTTCATTAAATATCGGATAGTGTAGACAAATACATTTTAAAATGATCGACGTTCAACGCGGTGGCTATAATAATACATTCCTATAACTGTTTTATACTTTAGGCACTGTCTATTTTTTCGTGTTTTAATATTGACCTCTTCAACACAATGGCGATAAGTTTAGACACCGAGAGAGCTCCCGTGAAAACTTTGGTGCGGAACGTGGAACAGAAACGCGGACAGTTCTAAAGGCGCAGAAAGCCAAAATTTGAGTGTTTAAAACACGGTACCGGAAAACAACTTTGAAAATCGCATGGTTACGTAAAATTCAATATCGGAATACGTTTAGGAAAGGGGGAAAAAAGTGGATTGGATTTAATAAAAAATGGGCGATGCCTGAATAACGACAATAATCGAAGGGGGGGGGGGAATTGATGGGAATCTGTAGAAAGGGGAAAACCAAGGGTGCCGGAATCGTTTAACCAATCCTAGGATTGAAACATGAAATCAACATAAACTATTTACGGGCGTTTCGCGATCGTGTTATTTAGGCGGAATAGATAAACTCAAATAGTATAAACATCTAAACAATACGGGTAACACACGAATAATACCTATATGTTTTGTTTGGCAATTTTCGCCTTCAATGTAAGTACCTGTACATAAGTATGTGCACGAAATCGAGGATGAGACCATTGACATCGCGATATCACGTGTGTGGTTTTTTTTTTCTATTCTGTTTCCCAGCGCGATTAATTATAATACAGGTACTCGTACGTAATTGATAATAATCGTTGGACACCGGCGGCGGCGAAATAATTGAGTAGCACGAGTGCGCGTACGTCACGGCCTCACGGGAAACAAATACCGAACAATAATAATATCATTATATTAGCAAATTAAATATCCGCAACCATAACGTAATACGCTATTATCAATAACGTTATCAAATCTGCAAATCGAACAAATAACGCTCGTCAAATGTTTCCGAATCGTACGCGAATGATGCGTATTCGTAATATCGCAATCCCGTGGCCATTCAATTTCTTAAAAAGTAAAACGTAATACATTTTTAAAAAAAAACGAAAAACACTCTTGCGGTAAATATTTTAAATTTTGGTTCTCCGTACCGCAAAAGAAATTCGTAGCCTACGCGCTTATTTTTGTAAGAATTTTAATATTTTTAAAAATGCTAATACTGTTGATATAGGTTTGTCACTGTTTCAGGATGAAACTTTTAAGATGTATTATACAGTAGTATAATCTATAGCTGTAGAAGACCGTAAATCATTGTTATCAAAACACGATTCTGAGCAAAGATCGGCTGTACAGTTTTTTGAAATGTCGTAATTAATCGCACGATTTTCACGATTTTTGTCAAAATTAAACACGAATATAAAAAAAAGTCTTAAGATAATAGGAACGGTTAACGCCACTGATATAGATAATTTTATGTATACATGTAAGCAACGATAAACAATTGCTTACGAATAAACGATTCTGAGCGGAGTTTAATTGATAATGATACTTTGTCAACAGTATATGTCATTTTATAGTAAAATAATTAAATATGCTTTATATATTTTCTTTAATAATAATTTTTTAATGTTGTACAGATTTTCCCAGTTTTCCTACGTTTTTCCATGTTTTATCCCGGGTTTTCACATTTGCTAGGAAAACTCTTGAGAAAATCTAAAAATGAACTTTCTTAAGTATCTTCCTAGTGAAATTTCCTTTTAGAAACATTTCTGTGATTATAAGTTGGAGCAAAATTGCTGGTAGAATAGTTGTGCACAGGATAAAAAATAAACATCTTTGTAAAACTATAAGGTTCTTCGCTCTACTCAGAATCTAAAAAAAACTACTACATTGTACTCTATTTATTTTTTTTACTACTAATTACACTTACGATGAACATCGTGTATAATTGTCAACATTTCCGCAAAGCCATAACAATTTAATGCATAATTAAATCAAATTAAAACTTAAAATCTCAAAAACGTAAATTTGTAGTTTTGACCAGAGAACCGAAATAATAAAAACATATAACTATCCGGTTTCCCCCTCCCACGGTTCTTCACATATTTTATTAAGAAAACTACAAAAAAAAAAAATAATAAAAAAAACATCCTTTTTAATACACCAACTAGATAAAATCGTCTTTCAAAAGATACACACCTTTTGAAATCCAGATTAAGATTGTTAAAAAAGTCGTTAAAAATATACAAACGACATTAAACCCAAACGATATACGGTCGTGCGAATAACTCATATTATAATATCAGAATATAGTTAAAAATATAGTTTAATAAAAACGACATGACAGTATTTTACGTTTAAAGCACACATATGTAGAAACTTTATAATCATATCAAGATTTTTATAATCTTTTCGGTTATTTTCCTGTATCTATACCCCAAGATCAATCTACTTACGTGCGTTCCTGCACGTATAAAACATATTCGAAATAATATTTTTAATAACATGTTCGTGAGGCACATAATGATTATTATTATGTTTATTCATTTATTTTATTAATACTGTGTGATTTGCAACGGTAATTATTATAATTTATATTTTTTTTTTTTTTATTTTTTTTTAATGCTGATTTCCGATTACGCGTACCCATAAATCTATATTTAAATCTTATGTATTGTAAAATAGTAAAACCGTGGTTTCTTCAATATCTCCACGACCATCTCACCGACACCGTGTACAACAGTTTATCCGGTTTAGGGATTGGATTTAAATATTCTGAAAATAATCAAAAACGATCTTAACCAAAAAATATTCGCGAACAGTACCGAATTCTGGTCACGAAAATACATTTTTCCCACCTATTTCATATTATACTACTGTATGCAAAACAATAAATACCCGAATACTGTTGCAACGTTACACAACACAATACTATCATCATAGACGTATTTAGAGGTTAGCCCCCTTTCCGTCTGTGGGAATATTAGCAACTTTCAGAGTAATTATAATTAGAACGATATTTTGTCTAAAATTAATGTTTGCTGGCGTACCAGTGTCCCCTCTGCGTCCCGAGAACGTCGTTTTCAATAAAGAAAAGAATAAACAAATTGCACACGATAAACTCTGGAACAAGAAGACTTTGGAGCCAACATTTGTTGAAATCGAAAAACTAAAATATATGTATAATTTGAATCGACAATATTGGAACCCACATTAGATGAAATCATTAAAAAGTTATACTGAAAGTGAACCGTATTACATAAAGCGCTCGACAGATATCGTTGTGCGCCGTGCCGCTGCCGCACTGATTCCAAATACGTGTATTCGAAGTTTGCAAATTCCAATTTTGTCAATTCCAACTTATATCGGTTCCAATCAACGTCGATTTCGTAATTTTAGTTTTCAACACCTATTATTCAAAAGGAGTTTCAAGCATTCCAAAGAATAGAGGGAAAAATATACATATACTCGCAGGACATACACAATAATGTGCAATGTTTTCTATTCGGTAACATTTGAAAAAAAAAAAAAAAAAACAGAAATCAAATCCACTTAAGATCCTTCCGATAAAATCGTTGAATCGCGACAAATGCATCACCTTATGTTAGTACTACGTATTACGTAAGTAGTCATTGAAATCATCGAGGTGAACGTTCAGATAGAATTTTTATAATCCTTTCCTGAAAACACCCTCAGCGATGACGTGTAATATCTACGGCATTATATTGCACGTTTTTCAAAACGAATTAAATTTTTTTTTTTTATTCCACCGGGAAACAACGTGTAAATTATTAAAACGATAACAGTTTATACGTATTTATTATTATTAATATATTTCTCATTAGCTTGTACAATGCCGGAACTCCGACTATAGATCGGCGAACACCCGCGGTAAATCGAAATCGCCGAGTCTGCACGTCCAGTGTACCTACCTAATATTCGCTTATATCGCCTCCACCGTGGTACTTCATCATAATATTATATTATTATTATTGCAAAGTAAATTTATCTTTTTTTTTTTTTTTTTTTTTTTTTTTTTTTATGCTACTTCGTAAAATAATGAGTTTATACACATATATATATATATATATATATAAATAGGTACGTACCCGAGGCGATTCTTAACGTCGTTTCCCGGTTCTTTTATTATTATTATTTTTAATCAACGTAATTTTCGACGAATACACTATCATTTCGGTGCAGAATAGTTCAATACGACCTACAAGGTCAATCAATCGAAATTAAATTCACAACAAGATAATATCCTCGTCTATTATAAACATTTTTGAATATTTATTCCAATTTTTTTTAATAATTCATTATTTGTTTGTATCAGTTTGATTTACAATCTGTACAATATTCCATTAGACTTGTAGGTCTTCGTACAATACTACAGTGGATATTGTTTTTGTAACCATACAAAAACACGAATGATATTCTAAAATTTTACAGAACCCCGGAAAACAATGCCGTTAGTCCAGAGAAAGTTAGTAGTCGTGTTAATAATATATTCAAGTTGAATTTGAGAAGAGGTCTTAGTAAATGTAAGTGACTATTTAGGTGTATGTGCTAACCTCAAAGAATATGGCGACCCAAGTGAGTAGTTTGTCCAGTATTAGAATACGATATTTAAGTTTGGTGAGGTTTGGTGATGGTTGTAAATTAAAGTGGGAGGGATGAAGGGCGAAGTTAAAGTCAACGGATTTGGATTCGTTAATCTTAATTTTCCACGTTTTGAACCGAAGAGATAAATTTTTTACGTGAGTTGAAAAGAGATTGAAACTGTTTGCTAAAAGTCCGTTATTTTACAAGTAAAGTATATTTAATATTTTAAATTTTCGTCTATAACCTTTTGGAAACAATAAATGCATAAATAAAAACACACCGGTAATATATGTTTAGAATATTTTTCAATAAACGATTTTCAGACGGTCAAAACAATAATTTAAAACCGAACCGTAACCTCTTATTTTACAAAATTGCTTTTTTAAACCCTATTCGAAACACGTTGACGGTTTCAGTTCCTGGATCAAAGTAATGTATTGACTGGCGGTTATTATTGGGTCCGAACTTACCGCAATGATAAGGGTGTCGTCAGCGTAGATTCAAAATATTCCAATTGAGTTATTGTTTGTCTTGGGAATGTTCGCCGTGTAAATAGGGTAGTAGGAAGAGATTATTGTTAATTGGCACATCCGTTTTTGTGGGTCTAAATAATATATATTTACATAAACGATGTATTAAGTCAACAGAACAAGTAATTTGCCGTCCAATTTATCGTCGTAATTCAATTGAATATACCAGCAAGTGCACAAGTCGCACGTTTCTTATTTTAATTTTCGTAATTTTGAAAGTTTTCAAAAAAAAAAACACATGTAGTTTTGTTTTTCAATAGTATAGTATAATAGTAACGGAATAGTATTTTCGGTTCTTTTATTAATGATATCGCTTTTCCCTCGTCATACACTATATGTGAAATTTCAAATATGTCTGCTATTATAATATTACTGCTGTACGCGATTGCGTGTCGTATTCAATTTAATGAAACATTTTATACATACATTGTTAGTGCCGAAAAGAGTTTTCGGCGGGTTATGAAAATTGTTAACCTATCGAAAAAAAAACACGAATATAATTGTGTCGGTAATACGTAACAATATATTCTTCGACGGAACTAATAATTTGTATTGTATTCATCGTGTGTTTTTATGCAAACAGTTTGAAAAACCAATGGGTACCTATTATGTAGTGTATTCGTATTGTGTCGATAAATTATGCAAAACTTCAATACGCACGGTAGACATTTGTCGGACATTTTTTTGTGGGTTTGTGGGTTTGTGACTGTTTACACGGCATAATTTCGTATTTTTTTTATTTTTTATTTTCAGTATAAAAAAAGAAAGAAAGACCGACATACTTCGCACAATGAGCGGGCCGCTGGCTGTTGTAGGTGAAAAGTTGGGAAGGTATAGGCTATAGAGGGGAATTTAATGTATATCTGTACACGACGATCAACCATTGCCCGAAACGATTATGGACGGAGTTCGGTCATAAATGTTTTAAAAGGCCGTAATATTTTCGTCAAAATTTGATACTAAAATTCTTGTATAAAAAAAAAATATATTATATTGAACTCGACGTTTTTATTACGTTTAGAAAAGGCAAATACACGTATAAGTTGTTGGTCCAAAATTAAAGTGTCTACAAACATTTTTAACTGAATTACAACAAAAAAAAAAAAATAAAATGTATAATAATAAAATCTTTATTTTCGTAAAGTTTACCGTTTTTCTTACGTTTTTCCCCAGTTAATTGTAATCAAAATAGCTTGAAAAATCAACATGATCGCCCAATAGGATCAACTGTATAAAATTTTCTTTCAAAAATACTGCTACGTTTGAAAATCAGAGCGATATTTCTGGTAGAAAAGTAGTTTATAAATTATGAAAGAAAAAAAATCAACTTTATTGTAAAACTAATATGCATTCCTCGCTCCGGTCAGAATCTAAAATAAAAACATGTGTCTTATACTATAATATAACACCCATATACCTAAAATCCAGACTTAGCATTATCGAGTAAAATGTTAAAAGTCAGGTTCATTTTAATCTCTGTTTTTTTAGATACCGAGCGTAGTGAGGGAGCAATTGGTTTTACAAAGATGTTTAATGTTTTTTTTTTTTTTTTGTTTTTTGTTCTAGTCTGTAAACACATTTTTTCCAAGTAAACTTTTTCCGATTTTTACGTGTAGCAAATTTTCTGAATGTTCAAGTTGTCTTAATAGTACTTTAAACAGGTTTTTTTTTTTATTTTCGATGCCATTTTTTCAATAAAAGCACTTAAGTGGAAAAAAACGTGGGAAAACGTAAAATTTCACGACTTCATTATTTTATAAAAACGCGGACAACGTTTTCTACCAGAAAAAATTATTTAATCGAAAAATCAAGACACCTTTTTTGGTGCCTTTTTGATTTACTTTCTAATAGTATCATCGCCAAAACTTTCAAGTCTTTTTTGAGCTTTAAAGTAAGTTTAATTTTTGGTAGTTTTTTTTTTTGCTGTAATTTAGTTTAAATACACGTATAGACTTGAAACTTGGTAATAATACTTATATTGGACATACCTAGACGTGGTCACATTTTCAAAACCGCCGGACGACTTTTTTTTAAAATTTAATTTAATTGAAAATCGCAAAAAAAATTGTGGCACTTCAAATAATGTATTACAGAACTGCGCTCGAAATCGCGTTTCATCAAGCAATGGTTTTTAGTGGTTTACAAATATAAATAAAATAACCTTATGTATCCTACCTTCCCAACTTCTAACCTACAACAGTGGCCGCTCCCGTCCCCAGTATAAGCGATTTTTTTTTTATTGACTAATCTCGTTTTTTTTTCAAATTAATTAACAACAAGTTAATTTTGATTTATAACACGAGTTAAGTTAATTACAATTTCTTTAAATTTTAACAATGCCATTTTAAATTTAAATTTCACCAACACTATTCGAATATAAATGAATAGGTTTTACTATTGTAAAAATAATATATTATAATATATTTTGTTCACTCAATAATGCAGTGTGTAAAGTTCGCGCTTTAAACATTAATGATAATATCACGACAATAGGTAACAAATTTACACAAAAAAAAAAAAAACAATTCACTTGAAACTTGAGTTTCAATATAAGTTTCAATTTAAGGCTGGGCAAGTTAACGGTTTTTTTTCAACTCGGTTAAATTGAATTTAAATTTAAATATAGTTCATGATTAAAAGTTAATTCGAAATAACGTATCAATTCGACCGAGTTAGAATCCGACCGAAAGTTCATATTATCATTTTAACTCGAGTCCGGCCAATCAAAACGAATTATTTTTCATTTGTCGTGTAAAAAATTGTTAAAAGCGAAATCGACTCGACTGCGGCGTGTTATGCTCGTCAATGCCCGGCCCCGTCGATACGGCGTTCTCGAATCGACTTTCGACGCGGCCCGGTCCGGGCGACGAAACGATACCGGCGGCTTTTGACGCGCGTCGACTAGCCGTGTAATCGCCGTCCGGTTACATTTACCGCGCGTATTACTGTTGTTCGCGATCCGGTATGATAATGGATTGTTTCGTTCGTGTGCCACTACAGGTCTCGGCTGGTCGACCACGCGTACGGTCTGTACTTCAAGGACCAGACGTACTATAGGGTGAGCAACATGGACGGCCGGATCGAGAACGCCGACCACCGGCTGACGGACGACATCACGGCGTTCACGTCGTCCGTGGCGCACCTGTACTCGCACCTCACCAAGCCGCTGTTCGACTGCGCGCTGATCGCGCTCACCTTGGCCAGGAGCAGCAAGCGAATGGGCGCCGCCGTCGTGCCAGGTGAGCCCGTTTACGATAACGTCCGCTAAACGATAACGCCCGTGCCCCGGGGTCGCGGGGGAAAACCGTACGGAACGGAAACGCGACGTCGCGCGTATTGCGCCGCGAGCGTAGGCGAATCGCCGACCGCGACTGCGGCCCCTCGTCCCCGGGTGTGCGTACGGCGAAAACAAAATCAAAAAAAATCGCCCGTTCCGCGTCTAACCGCGCCGACGGCCAACGGCGCGTACGAACCTACACACCCGGCGCCTGCAACGCGTCAATAACCATACCGCAGTACGACGCTCGGTCGCTGTAAAGTGTTATTACCGCGCCGCCGTTCGGTATCGGGTGCAGATAAACCGCCGGGGAAACGATAATCGAATTGAACATTATCAAACACCGCGATTGGGGTGACGTGAGGCGAGGCCGAGCTCGGGACTTATCGCGCTTGAAATTCGGGGGGGGGTGAGGGAAACACACACACTTTAAAAAAGCCGGTCCGAGCGAATATTATTAGACCGAATGGTGGATTGGTTTAAAAACAAGGGTCCCCTGTCCAACGGCTGTGGATGATCGTTGAATATAATTTCCTAAATGATTAGTTATTTTGTTGAAATAAAACTGTAAACAAACGTGAAATAACTTTGGGTTATAAATAATTTGTGTAGCGTGTCGGAAAACCGTAGTTCGCGAGTGATAAGGCCGTTCGAGAGGGAACACATTTTAAACCCTTCTACCGGTTTTTGGATTTTCGAAATATTTTTCAAGTGCTTTTGCGACGTTTTTAAGCGGTTTTTTTGTGGATGTCACGCGCAACAAGTTTCGAGCCGTAAATATACGCAGTAATACTGCGGCGTGGGAGAATAAAACCCGAAAACCGCACGTCATTCGCAAAACGATATTATAAATCGGGGTTCGGGACTTTGATCGGTCGCTTATTAATTTGTAACTGCATTATTGTTTTTCGAAATCAGATCGTTTTTAGCGTTTTCTTAGCAATTTTTTTTTTTTTTTTTTGTGTGTTAATTTTTGTATCAAGAAAGTTTCTACAGATTTTTACGATTGGAGCGAGATTTCCGCGCACAGAACTGTTGTTAACGGAAAATGATTCTGAGCGAGTTCTATGAAACATATTAATATGTTTTGAAATTCCGTAATTTTTCACAGTCTAAAAAGAGCACGCATCGCTTCGCTCAGAACCTAAAAATCATTTTTTCCTGCTCCAATAGTGTGTTGCGCAGGCTGTAAATATCGATAAAACAAAAACCACAAGTTAAAAGACAAAATAATTAACTTGATTTTTAACACTGCGTTTAACTGATTAATGTCCGCCGTTGATTTTTAGTACTTATAGTAATATATTCATCAATGGAACTCACGCGGGGTTTCGCGCGACAGACGAGAGCGTTTTGATCAACAGATGTTTTTTTTTTTTTTTTTTTACTCATCTGTGTTATTTCCCCCATCAGCTTCATCCGATAGGTTACATCGGACCGTGTAACCTTATAATATTATTATGTACAAGTATCCTGCAGTGCGGAACGCGTAACAATTGCACGTATATAATAATGCAATATCGAAGAAAAGTGTAATGTAAAGCTGATATAATATATTGTTGCGTTTTCACATAGCGTACATATCATCACAATCGCTCTATGTGTTCGTTTCGAACAATCGTTACAGTAATAATTCCCTTCGACGATTATTATTAGCCGCGCGAATCGCATCGACCGGCAGACTTTATATTGTTGTCTCGGGACGCCTTCGAATATGCGTGTGTCGGCGTTTTTTTATTACGCAAAAAAAAAAAAATTCGATCTCTGAACCTCGAGTCCGGGTGGCTCTGGACGATTGTAATAATATCGATAAAGGCAGTACCCTTGAAGATTTTCGAAATCCTGTCCTATCCAGGTATACCTATAATCTATATACTACACGGATTCTCCGCTGCCGTCCGGTTCAAACGGACAAAAACGAATACAGACGTATACAGGTCGGTAATCCGGGGGCAGGGTGGGGTTGTTAGGTATTCCCCCACTAGAATTTTTCTCGGAGGACGGCGATCTTTTAATTAACCGTTGCGTTGGGAAAAAGAGTATACTGATAAACAGGGCTCGGGACTTTATGCACTTAATATCCACAAAAGAACGTCAAAGAGTTCTTTGAAAACGGACTTATACTAAATACAATTTTCGAATACTACAAGAATGATTAACATCAGTTTTAAAAAAAAAAATTTTAGTATGTACTAACACAAATTTTGTGTTAATCGTTTTTGCAGTGTTGTAAAATTGTATTTTATGGTTATATCCGTTTTGGTGGATGGAGATGGAAATTTTAAACTCCTTTGAACTCTCTGTCTCTTTTGCTTTACATTTTTTTGTTTTTAGGGCTTTTTTGACGTTTTTAAACTCTTTTCAGTGGATTTCAAATGCATGAGGTCCCGAGCTCTGTTAATAAGTGATAATCTCGTGATGATTATTTTAAATAACTGCGATTTTTTTAATGTCCCCCCCCCCGTTTATAACTCTCAGTTCACTCTCGCTAAAGAATTTATTGATTTAGTTGGTGAGCCTAGGCGTATAGGTAAGTATTGGTACCTACACAGATAAAGTGCGAGAATTTCGAATTCGCGTTTTAACTGTGCCGCGAACTTAATATTAAAACGGTTACAGTTTGTTTCGGTACATTTTTGACGTATAGTATTGATTTCGAAGGCCATTTTCATAATTTAATTTTAGACGTCGGGTGTACCGAGAAAGCTTTATTATTATAAATTGTACATGAAAAACGTTTTACGTTTCCCGGCCGTTTAGCTCGCGACGAGTGTCTATATTATAATAAAAAAATATTTTTCTCGATTGCGGTTTACAACAATTCTCGCGCGTGTACAGCGCGGTTGTATTCGTTCGGATTGCCCGTGGTTTCGCGAGATAACGTACAAAAGTATAATATATATATGTATGTATGTATTAGTTTGCAATTTTTTTTTTTTTTTCCCCGTACCATAGCGAGACACCATTATATATTATAATAATATTACAATATGCGTAAATGTATTTTTCGTCCGTGAGTCATCGCGCCGTCCGTTCGTATTTATATTTATAAATATTGCTCGCTAGCTATTTACTAACACGTGAAAAAGAAAAAAAAAAACGTTGACGAATGTCGTTTTGGAAATTTTTTTATAACAATCCGACGGTTTATTGCATACTACGTAAAAATGAAAAACTCGTCGTTTTATAGGGATTATAATAATTATGTTTTTTTTTTTTTTACAAATTTGTATAGACTTGTAACATACTTACGAATTCGACTGCGACAAACGATTACTCGCGATATTTTACGCATGCAGCCGTGGTCCTGGTTCTGCAAAAATTGTATTAAACATGTTTATGCCGTGAATTACCTTGACGGATTTGAGGGAAGTTAATGTTATGTGACGATCAACCGGTCCCCCTTAAACTTTAAAATATCAAGTAATTAAATTATCTAAGGTATCTAAGGTCATAATCGGGTGAGGGGATTTCTAGTGGCTTACGTTTTAACCACAAGAGTATAAAGATCTTTACTTTATTCATGGTTTAATCGCAAACAATATCAGTGCACCCATAGTAAATTAAGCTAATTTTAACTTATCCCCCCTACCCGAAATTGTTTTCAATTACGATCTCCCGATCCCTTTAGCACCTCTGATACCGGTTCGCCCCTACCCTTAAAAGAGCTTCAGATCCGCCACTGATGAATTATGTGACGATATTATATGGGTACAGTTTGTAATATTGAATTCAAATAATTTTCTTACTATCACAAAGGTATCGCCGTATATATTTATAGCATATATTTTCACAGATTAATCAATAAAATGTATCCTCTTAATAAATGGTTGCTTTGACACTCATTTTAAATCTCTTATAGGAGTTAAATTGCGCAAAACATATTTTGATTATTAATTTGAAAGATACCCAAAACAAAGTTTTGGGTTATTAAACGCATTAAACTTATATTAATCTCTTTAACCCCTTAATGGTTTACCTACCTATTGTGTACTTAGTGGTTTGGGCTGTACACTGGTACGACAGACAGTCAGTTTTTTCTTTTATGTGTACAGGATGTTCCATTTAGGTGTAAAAAAACGTCAATACCTAAATTTGTTTTTGCTAATATTCCGACTATCTATGGAAATTTTTAATATCAAAAGCATGGAACCGTTTCACTCCTAAAAATAACGGTAAAAAACAGTAATTTCACATTTTAGATTTTCTTGTTTTTTAAAGTGTTAAAAAAAAACACATCGAGTGTAGAACACTTACATAAATGAAACACTCTGTATATAGATATAGGTTTTCATTGATTTTTTTTTTTTGAGCGATATTGATTTGTCAAAAAACGCGAAATACCGTAGAAAAAAAATATGCAAACAGAAACATTGTCGTGTAACAATATCCAATATACTGTATTGTTACAATGTAAATAATAATTGTCCCATTAAGTGCATCGCGCGTCTTGTATAATAATATAATATTTTGTAATGCCGTATCACGTGTCGTTTAGGAAATATTATAATATTATTACACAGGCATATTAGGTAGGTGCCTACGTACAGTAGTAGTGTATTACCTATTCTTAAACACACATATCATCGAAACCTTCGGTAAAACATCGGATTTACCGCGGACTAATACAAATCAAGGTCTACCTTTATATTTTGAGCAAAAACATTAATATGATTACGTTATTATTAAAGAAACGTATCGTCCGCAGACCGTGTTTGTATATGACTATGAGATTTTATAGTAAGAAAAAAAAAATACTATGGTACGGCAATCATTATTAGGTTAATCGTCATATCATTACGTATAGGTACACCAATCTACCTATCTATCTGCCTAAGTTTACGTCCTTCTGCGTTCGAAAGTACGAAACTGTACAACATAAAATAAATGTATAATAATAGAAAGCTATTATATCATGTTAACGCGGACGTCGACAAAAATAACTAAAACGATTCAATCGACCAAGTAGTATAAACAAAAAAAGCATTAAGTTTAAAGTTAAAAATTAACAGGAAATAAACCGAACTAACTTCCTTCTTAAATGTCCTACAAAACAGATTTCGAAAAGAGTTAATACTTTCCGAGATAATGAGTGTCTTACGATAGATTGATCATTGATTCTGTATAGTTAAGCTTATTATAAAAAATATCCGGGATCGTAAATTAATAAAAAGACACGTTTACGAAATAATTATAACGAACGAAATTACGTAGACCTATGTAATAAGTGAGCTACATATTTTTTTTTAACGACCGTAAATAAAATTATCATTTTTTCTAAATAATTAACGGTTGAACGTTTGTAGGAACAAAACAAACGGATCAAAAGTAATCGCGTGTTACCTACGTAATCTTAAGATCTTAGAAAACAAATTAATGTTATTGCAATGATATTGTAATCATGATATAATCATGCTGTAGGTAAAAACACCTATATCGTGTAGTAGGTGATGTTATGCAATTATAATGTAACGGATAACTGATAATTGTATAATTTTGATCCCAGATAAGAAGGGTTTAAGCCGATTTCGGAATCTTGTTTTACGTATTTTTTTGTTCTAAACGGTATGTGGATATATGTGTATTCGTTATAATGTTGTGTTAAATTTAAAAAAAAAAAAATTAAAACCAATACTTGACGTGTAAACAAATAAAGTACTTATAAAATTAAAAGTGAAAAGTTATTATAGTTATAAAAGTGAACATTTTCTAGTGCATATTAACTATATCCGTCAAAACTAGTTTTAACTAGTGAAAACCGGTTCCCGCAAATCCCTTTAGTTATTTCTAGTTTTGACCAGTTAAAACTAGAACCAACTAGGACCTTCACCGATAAAACTAGATTGAACTTGTTTTTGTTTAGCTAGAACTAGTCGTGTCTGAAATACATTTGGTGAAAACTGGAATTATCTGGTGCATATCGGGAATTTTTATTTTGACAGTTTAAACCAGTTTCGCGAGACACGCACACACGTGGGTACAACGACCATAACGAATACTAACGAACTGGCAAAACTGAACACACGGGAACAAAAGCTACGGCCGGCCGAATTATCATCTATAAGGTACACCTTATAATCGGTCGAAGTTATCGGTATCTAAAAGCGATCGGATGGACGTCCGGTTAAACTTATCACAATTGATTTGATAGCCGGACGGTCGAATTTATGGAACAATATTTAGAGATCGCACGTAATCGCGTGCGTTTTGGGTAGCGCCGGTCGGAACACACGCGCTTCGGTAAAATCCAGATTTGATTGACTTATTTAAACCTGCAGTTAATTCCAGTTTTCACCAGTCAAAACTGGAATTGACTAAAGGGATTTGTGTGAAACTAGTTTTGACGGATTTCGGGTTTTAACTGTAACACACACACACACACACACATATGCATATATATTTCGTTCTAGTTTCGATATAGAAACGATTATATTGAAAATGTTTAATTTATATACTAACGACACCGCGACAATATTGCACACGCAATATCAGCGAGTATAGGTATCTATACCTATGTACCCGTTCGTTTTGACTGTCAAGTAACGAAAATAAAGTATAATTGTCGTTCTCAGTTTTGCGTTACCATAACAGTGTATACAGTACGTGAACGCGTATAGTTCGACAAATATATTATCGCATGCATAATTACAAACGAAATGATCGGTGTATAGTTAAACAGTACCGAACATTCTCAAATAATAATTATTCGGGCGTATTGCAGGTAGACATTGACAGGGATGGATTATTGTGAACGCGTTTTGGCGCATGTCGCGCGGAGAGAATTATCTGAAACAGTAGAACTGTAGTGGAAATAATCGTAACAGGAAAGAAGTGGAGAGGAATACTGTAAAAGAGGTGGTTGAATGCAATCGAGAATTATACGAGGACAACCTGGTGTATGTGAGTTAGAGGTAGACCGGGTCAAGTGGTAGTTTAGAACGATGGTGGCCGACCCCAAATAATTGGGATTAAACCGAAGGAAAAGAAGACGAATACGTTCTGGTGCGTGGAAACTTATAATTAGCCAGAGCACAATAAATCAAAATTGATTTGCAGTGGTTTGAAAATTCGTTCGTTTTAATATCGTGTATAATTTTTATAATAAATGTAAATAAGAAGGAACAGCATCAGAATTTTTAACATAAACATTTTTACAGTTTATGATAATATTATTTTTTTGTAATTAAATTTAGATTTAATATAAAATTATCTATGATGGTGGAAAGCAAATATCACTAATTCTCTTCGGGTTGTAAGAAACGACTTAAAAAAAAAAAGCTCAAAATTTGAATTTAGTATCGACACGACTACGTTGCGTTTATATTTTATCTCTACATTGGTTTACACCCGACGTGATTTATCAATCAATAAATATTGTAGTTTTTAGACTATTTTTTCAATTAGTATATTAAATTCCTATCGGTTTAGAGTTTAGACGATATTTTTATGTTTCGAAATTGGTATACACGGATCTCGATTTTCCGGCCGTTTTACATATTGTCTTAGTTTTTTATCATCCGGGGCAAAGTGAGTGTACCTCGGTTATTAATTGATAAACTTAAACGTCCATCACGAAAACTATCGAATTTCCGGTGGACCGATAATCCGCCCTTGGGCACTGGTAAGTCACAGTGAAAAAAAATCAAATACAATCACGATGTTGTTATTATGAGACCGCTGCACTTACCTCGTTACCGTTTTGTTTATCTTGGCCTCGCTTTTCGATAGTTATATAATACGAATATAACGTGTAATCAATATCGCAGTATTATAAATCTGTATCCACATTCGCGATATAAAGTACACCGTTATGCCCCGACCGGAGCTTGAAATTTATTTTTACATTTAAATTTGTTATTATAATTATTTTTTTGGATTTTAAACAAGTGGATAATTCAAAGTGGATATGATTCAAATTGTACAGGTATACGCTATATGCAGTACAGTAGAATCGTATTTTTGTTTACTTATATATTATATTCTGTTATGAGAGGACACGTTGTGTACTATCCATATTTAAGTGGTCAGTTGAATTATCTCCGATATTATTGGAAAAAATAAACACGAATACGTATACACGAAAGTATTCAAAATCACTTTCAAACACATTTACGTAGATACTACGAGTATAGAGTCCCGTGTAAATTACTACGAGTAGTGTTTATTGTGCAATCGTGAAATAATAACTTTAAATGAAACAAAATACCAACGAAGCCGTTGAATAATTTATTTATTTAACTTGCATGTATTTGCGTGTTTAACCACAAACAATAAAATATAACACACACTAACCCAGTTATCGCAAACATTTGTATGATAATATTATCATGCGCATTTTCAGTGCCCATCTATTTATGAACATTAACATTCTCACAGGGTTGTTAAAAAAGAACACTCGCATAGTAATTTTATCTTGACATTTTTTATTTTAACAAAATTACAAGGGGAAAGAAAAAAGTTGATAAAATTAATTGGCTTTTTTAGATTCGGTTTTTGAATTCTCACTGTCAGTATAAGTATAAAGGAAGACGATTTTACGATTTATTTATGAATCATGATTATTATTTACTATAACACTGCTTCCCATCGACAATATTTCTGTTTCCCGCCGCTAAGCGATAGTATATTTATTATTATCAAATGCTGCAGCAAACGAAATGCAAATGCGTTTTACGATTTCCGGGTCGTTGTATCGGGTTAAAGGTTATGAATGTACGGCTATCACATAGCGTATGAAGTATACAATACATCTTTGTTATTGTTATTATTATAACTATTATTTTTATTGTTACTGTCGTTGTAGTCCGCGCCGTCACGATATTATCGATATCAATATTATAATAATATAATACAGCGTGATCGATTTTATTTTTGATTTTTTTGCTATTCAGCGCCTTCTGAAGTCACGGGAAACTACTCGTGTATTATATCCATTATGAATACGACGTGTTCTCGAAAACCGTCATGAACGAAATCAAGGATTTCGTAGCATGCTGCAAGTGCAACAATAATAATTGTTATTATACTATACGTAAAAAACGAATAAGCGACGGACTAGTTATTATTTTTCAATACAACGGTACAATTAGGTATATATGGTATCGTACGCCGACATACGTGGAAATAGCGGGGAGGACGAGCTATAAGAGGGTTGTTGGGGAGGTAGGGTGTACATGGTTTTATTATGTAATGTTAAATCATTGTTACGAAAACAATACTGAACGGAGTCGCGTTTTTTTCCCCCGTTTCCAAAGCGATCTTGCAGAAATAAATAAAAATCGAACATCAAAAATTAAGCACCCGGAGAGGAAGTGATAAACTAATAAAAAAATCGATAAATATTAAAAAAAAAAAAATCACCGGCCGAAATTGCCGCCTCTTTTAAAGTATACCACGTGAAAAAATCGGAACATTTTTACAAACCGAAAAACTGTAAAAGGATTATTATAGTAATCATCGTTGTCATTATAGTTTCGTCGTTATACGTTCGGTATTGAAAACTATTGTATTTTTTTTCAATAATTAATGTTAATCGGCTATACCATTTGTATTATATTTTTTTTTATAACGAGATCCGTTTGCTAAAACCGTTTCGCCGTGAGATGAACCGGATATTATTAAATAATTCATACGCATAGGTACATATGATGTATAGCTGTTTACGTAACTGGTCGTACTTCGTTTGTAAAAAGCGGAAGTGGATTTTCAAATAATCACCGTGATGATCAAAACGGATACTGGTTTACGTGGTTTTCACAAAGTCGGACTTCACGGACGCGTATATATATATATTATTTTAATATACAATAATCGGAGCAACGTGTCAGGCAGAAAATTTCTTCACAGACAAGATACAAAAAAAAAAAAAAAAACCGCATCACATTAGTAAACAGCTCGAATGGCCAGTTTGACGGGAAAATATTTTTTTATTTTCGCCACACAACATTGACGTTAAAAACATTCAAATCTAACCAATTAAAATTGAATGCACATTCGAATTTTGAAATCATTTTTATGAACTGCGTTGTACGATGTAACTGTAGTCGGTTAAAGTCGGTACATATATTGTATAGGTAATAAAAAATAATATTCTATTATCTCGGTTAAGGTAAAAATCGAATAAAAATAAATCAATTTGCATTAACAAACTTATGAAAAAAAAAAAAAAATGTGTATTGCAATCAAGTTCGCCAAGAAAAACCCGTGAAAACAATGTAAATACACGTTGTTATTTTTCGAAGAGTATAACGTTAATAAATTAGTGCATTTACTGGAATAACCAGTAACGACTCTGCGAAACGTAATCTCCTTGACCCACTGTTTCAGGGATATAATACGTATACTCGCGTACATTTCAAACGGAATGAATTTATTATCATAAAGTGTGTGCGGGCGGGAGGGAAGAATATCTCGCTCGGATCTTTTCTCGTGCATAATATTTACAGCGTTTTCGTTACCCGTCCGGCACAAACATCCCCCGAACACCGATTACGAATCTTAGTGTCAGAAAAAAAAAGAAATGATAAGATTAACAAAATACAATAAATAACTCGAAAAAACGCCGGAATATTTTGACAAAAAACACCGCGTCTAGAAAGTGCCATTATGCGCGTTCGGTAAAAATGGCAACGGTCTCTAAACGGATTAAATACAGCTGACGGGTATACCGCCGTTTAAGGAGATATTTTGAAAGATTCGATATTGCTATGTATATCTGTATGTGTGTCATTATTTAATTTATATCTACACGCGACGAAAAAACCATTGATAACGAAAAACGGTAAAACCTAAAAACAGTGATCTCCTCAATGGAACAACTCTACAGGTAAAATGCGCTATCAGAAACGACCACTGGAGTTAATGATCGGAACACGATTTCCGATCCGCAAAAATGATTACAGACAGAAAAAAAAAATAAAAATCCGTCGACAACAATAATAATTGTCAGGTTTAATTAATAATATTTTTGTACGCTCGTGTGTTATTTGTACATAAAAATATACAAGTAACGGATATTTTTTTTTTTTTACCGAAGGTCCTTGAAAAAATGTGTCCTCGCGGCGAGTAAAAATATAATATATTATTATTTGTATACTCGTATAAAAGACGTACAGATTTATAAACGGCAAGCAAGGCTCGCGCAAAGATCGATTTTATTCGCTTTCGAAAATCACGATGACGCGGGTCGCGTGCGGAAATCCATAATATTTTTATTATCCGATATTGCGCCGTTGTACCACGATGATATTATGGTTTTTTTTTTTTTTTTTTATAGCGTTTTGAATTCAAATGATATTTTAAAAATGATGTTATTTACTTAAATGCCTCGAAAAATGATGTTATTTACTTAAATGCCTCGCCATTTTCGTACCTAANACGCGGGTCGCGTGCGGAAATCCATAATATTTTTATTATCCGATATTGCGCCGTTGTACCACGATGATATTATGGTTTTTTTTTTTTTTTTTATATTTTATGAATCTTGCGGTCGTTTAATTTATTGTACTCGGACGACCTCTGGATCGTATTGCGGCCGATTGGTTTGGGCGTGGCCATTGCGCGACAGACGGAAAATTCGCAACTATATTCTGAACCCCTAAACTGCACATACCGTTTTTTCGATGTTTGGACTGCACTTCAGATTTTCATTCTGCACGGGCTTGCTCCAAACAAAAACTACATGGGACGTTTTTTTTTTTTTTTTATAGCGTTTTGAATTCAAATGATATTTTAAAAATGATGTTATTTACTTAAATGCCTCGCCATTTTCGTACCTAATAATGAAAAAAAAAACCGTACGTTTTGTACTGGTAGATCAGAAAAATCGTTTCGACTCGAAACGATAATAAGGAGTACAAACAAGACGAGAAATCGCTTCGTAGGATACCTACTTTTTTTTATATTTATTACGCGAACACGTTTTTGGAAAACTGTAACGATCGCATATAATCGTGTGTAGTTTATAAATTCATTTTCATAATATTTCCGAGTTGAACTATTCGAACCGCCCTTAGAATCGCCTATACGCAATCCCTGATTTATCGAGCGTGTTATACTTAAAATATATATTATCGTACGGTTCGACTGTACTCGTATAGGATCAACGAAATTTGTACATATTGTGCGTATAGTTATTAGTTAGTATATTATATTTGAAAATAAACGATTAGTGGAACTTTATTAGTCGAACTAGTCAAACTTAAGGGTAAGTTCTACAATACGAGCGTGTACAAACGCGCATCATATTATCGCAAAAATAATACATTCCTCGCTACGCTCAGAATCTAAAAACGGCGTAATGATGCGATTTCGTCGGTCGCCATGACATGGCATTCTCGTGCAAGTAAACGCGTAGTAAAAAAAACCAAAAAAAAAAATAAAACCAACTAAAATCATCGCAGACTCGATCGAAACGTCTGTTGCAGCATATAGGTACCGAATCTAATTCGAACATCGTTGAAGTGTTTGAAGCCGTTTGTGGGACTCGATTCAATATTAGCCTATACGTATACAGGGTGATTTTTTTTCTTCGTCGCATAAACCAGTGATATAATAATAAAACTAGAATTACCATGTGTGTGTACGGATAATTGTGTATGGACTGAATTGAGTTGATAATGATTGAGTACATAGTTCTAGCAAAACAAAAAAATTTGTAACACTATCACAGATAAAGTTTTTCTCGATTCGTTGTGAATTATTAATATTTCCACTATAAATACGGAAAGAGTAGAGCTGCACCGCGCAAAACCGACTGTATAGTAAAATCGCGGATAATATCACTTCCTCTCAACCGAATCCGAATCTGAGTTAGATTATTTTTTGAATTAATATTTTTTCCTCATTTGACGCGCATATTCGGCTTTTTATTCGTTTTTTAATGCGTACAAATCGAAACCCTAAATATATCTATATGACTAAGACAACGCTAATGAATTCCATTGTGGTTTATAAATTATCGTAATGTAAAATCGTTGATTAACATTAATTGAGGCACTTGAATTAATGTTTTCATCATTATATAGCATACAATAATAAACACTATTTTAATACAACGACATAGATTATTGACTATTTATTTTCTGATAAGAACTCGCATTTCCAAACACGCGTTCGAGAGGAGTGTATAAGTAATTACATTAACGTTTCGATTCTATAATTTAGACCAGAAATACCGGGATCGTCATCGGTTTACCACAAATTGTATTGGAAAATATAAAAACGAGAAGTGGTTGTCATCGGATATTTTAAATTATTATTATTTTTTTTTTTTTTTGAATTATCAATATAATATTATTGTAATACTACTATATTCGTTACAGTGTCGTTTTCCATTTTTTTTTCGTGTTTTTATTTAAAATTAGGAACGGTTGTTTACAATATTCAAAGATACACACGAAACATAATGTCAGACATTTTCCAACTGAAAAAAAAGAAATGTAATCAATTTTACAAAGGATAAGTATCTGTTACTATATATGGCATTAAAATTTTTTTAATTTCAGGCAAATTTCTTCAAATGAAAAATCACTATTTTTTTTTGTGCTCTCACAACAAAAAATTATACAAAATATTTCGAAAATGTTTGCGATATTGCTATAGTTGCTAAAGTTGATAAGGCACAATGTTTCATTTTAATCAACCGTTCCTTCTTAATATATCATAAAATACCTATAGGTGCCATCTTTCGTATTATGGTTCTTATGCATTATCACCACGCCTCGCGATTTTTCTACTTCAATGAGTGACTTACCCCACGTGGCATTTTCCATTTATCCCCTGTCCTTTATTTCTACCTGAAAATTAATGACTTAAGATTTTAAGTCCTCATTTATCGAGACAAACTTCCTTAAAGCAGTATCGGTTATAGACGTAGCGGATTTTTCTTTTTGTCTGACGTTGGTGTAGTTGAGGACCGCTGCGACTACAATTCCTCTATCGTTTTGTTGACAACTACAAGTGCTATTATGAATAATATCCAATATCCGTATTATAAACCGTGAGTGTGTGCATTGTCCGTGTGTTATTTCATCTAGTTATTTTGAATTTCGTTTTGACTCGTAATATTACAATGACGTGTTGAACGCTGTGATACAGACAATATCTAATATTATATTATTTTATCTATATGTATATACGTATATCTATATATATATATACGGGACCGATGATATTGTTCTCTTATTCAATATTTTCTTCTGGCCTTTAGAACTCTCCAAGATAGTTTTCCCGCCGAAACGTTTTACTGTTCATTGGTAAAGTCTGATTTAGAATTTTGTTCAATGGTCTGGAACCCATCTCAGTCTAGTAAAACAGAAAACGTAGATAAGCTAAAAAATTCGTTCTATAAGCATGATTGGGTATGAAACAGGCTTTGAAATCGTACCCTGCTTTAATATTGCTAACCGAATTGGTCTAGTGTAGTCATTAGCTACTTGTCAGATGTTTTCTACTGTTGTATTCGTGCCCAAGTTGGTAAACGGTGTAACAGATTGTCCTGAGTTACTGTACGAAATTGGTTTTAGAGTCCTTGTTTTTGATTCAAGACATAAATCTACTTTTCATATCCACTTTAGTAATAAGAATTGCCCACGTAAATAACAGTCCGATATTCCGCTTGCCTAAGTCTTGTAATGAGCCGATTAATTATGGTTTTAATGTCGACTCATTTACCAAACTGCGATTATCCATATTTAATTAATAAAATTTACATTTATTTATTAAATTGTAACCGTGGGTTATGATAATAATATTGTTTTCTGTGTAAGTATAAGTGTTTGATTTGTATCGAACCCTCTTACCTGACCTCTTGCGGGTGTTAATTATTAAATAATTAAATAAAAACCACATCGCCGCATCTAACCTTGTCTTGAACGTCGTCTCTCGCTTCGCCCGAGGCTTCTATTCGAACGGTATTTTAATACCTTCGTGCCTGTGATTGGCTTAGCCATTTTAGTCGTTTTCATTAAATAAAACTCGTCACCGGTACTAAGTTTACCATATTGACGCGGAAAGTGTTTTTCAAACGGTGTTAAAAATTCAGTCGGCCGGACAGGAAATCGAACCAGACTCTCTTGCTTGTCAGGCAATTGCTCAACAAACTTTGCTTAACTCGGTGTCCTGACTTCAAAGTAATATTGCAATAGATTGTAACGTTTTGGACAGGAAACACTTGGTCAGCGAGAAACAAGTTTTATCGCGGTCTAATTTATTTTGTTTATTTATTTATTCATATTTCGTGCTTATTATATTACATTTATAGATATTCGAAATCGTTGACCGTTTCATACACTAGCGAATTCTCTGTTTTCACCGTCACTATCGATTAGCTCCATCCGTTTGATATGATCGACATTGAATTGAATTAGAACGCGCGCGTATCTACACTCCAAAGTGTTTAATTATATTGTTATATTGTGTAATACGCAAATTATATTTCGTTGGAAACAATATTTACTGTGAAAAAAGTGATACGCAATCGGTTTTTACGAACCCGATAATGTCGAAATAAAATAAAATATTTAAGGCTAAACCCACAGAGTTTTTATGGCCATTACTCGGGAATCACATAACGCGTTTGTTTCAAACATATTCTCTTTGTATTTTCTAACGGTTAGTAAAATCGCGACGGATTATTAGGTATAAGAAAAAAAATAATTACGTTGTCTGAAAGAGAGAAAGGTCCGCGAATCGTCGTGGGTCGTCGTCATTAAATCGTATGGCAAAGTCACCGAACCGTCACGATTTTTTTTTTTGAATAAAACATAATAAATACATAGCATTGTATATTATATAGGACGATTTATTCACCACAGATTATCGTTTATACGCTCATTTTGGGTTTTTTCAGACATTAAAAAATCGTATTTAATCGTACTACACAATATTATGTTAAAAATGTTATCCGTATTATTATTCCGCGCGCTATAATATCACGTAAACAAATATGTTAATATTATTAAAATCAACTTTTGATTTTCAAAAAGCAACTTACTGCGGTTTTTAAACGCCGATTTCGTATCCACACGTTTAGCTGCGATGTGAAAATTGTATTGGCAATTATTATGACGTATACCGCGGGAAACAATAGGTATCATTTTGAAAATATTTTAATTAGATCATTGAACGATTCTACAAAGACCACGAAAAAAAAAAATTGACTTTAATTATTGTTTATCTATACAGTTTAATTACTGAGGTTTCGAAATCAAAATATCACTCTGTATATTATTAATATTGTTATTTCTTGAAAACTCTTATTTATGGGACAAATTAATCGGTTGTTAATCGGAACCATGGGAAAAAACGAAAAAAAAAAATCGCCTTTCTGTTATATGCTAACTATACATGTGTGTTTTATTTTTGGACCCTGCCGTAGCATAATTTTCAGACATTTGCCTAAGAGCAAATGTTTTTTTCCGGATTTTTAAAAACGAAAAATTTGAGTGGCCTGCAAAAAAAAATGTACGAATTCAAAAATCGAAAAGTCAAATGTGTAAAACAATAATCTATTTACGTAAATGTGTGTATGCGAGAAAAATTATAATAACTGGTTTTTATTGTTTTACAGGACCTTTGCTGGCCATCGTCGTCATAAGCATTACCGGGCAGATACTCCGGATGCTCTCACCGAAATTCGGCTCGTTGGTCGCCGTGGAAGCAGACAGGAAGGCGTACCTCCGGCACATCCATTCCAGGGTCATAACCAACGCCGAGGAGATCGCGTTTTACGGCGGTCACAAGGTAAAACCCGCTGAATCGTATTTTGGTTATACTAACAATCGTCTATAAAAAAAAAAAAAAACCGTATATTCACATCAATAATAATAAAAAAAAGAAAAAACTGTCTGGGTCAAAACGGCATACAAAATTAAGTCATTTTTATCGTCCGCGCAGTGGTCAGCCATGACGAGTAGTTGATCGCTTCGTTATGGAAATCTATCACGTAAATTAACTTAACCTAACCCAACCTAACGGATAGCGATCGTCCCGTTTTCGACGGTAATATCGTGGAATAATATTGATATTATTGCGATTTGGGTTTATGACGCAGGCGAATTAATCAAGCGAAATAAAATGTGTAAACGCGGATAAATTAAAAAAAAAAAAACAGACTCGTCGAGCGGTATCGTGGCTTATCGCTAGTCGTGACAATGGTTTTTTTTTTACGTTTTCTAGGTAGAAATGATCCATTTGCAAAACGCCTATCAATCGTTGGTCCGGCACATGAACTCGATATTCTCGCAGAGGTTGTGGTACGTGGTCCTGGAACAGTTCCTCATGAAATACGTGTGGAGCGGAACCGGCATGATTGTCGTGTCGTTACCGATCATAACCAGTTCCAGAGTAGCAGGTAACCTGCCTATATAATGCACTAAACAATCAACGGCCCAACGATCGATTTATTGGTCGGGAATTCAATCTAATTTTTATTTTTTTTCGTCATTATCTGCCGTTAAAATTACCACCGAAACATATTTTATTCAGTTCCCGATTTTTCAGACTTCTATAATTATAATGCATAACGCGAATTATTTATTTATTCGCATGACGTAACGGACAACGAAAACGAATATTTTATGCATTCGTATACAGTTTTTAGGGGAAAACGGAACAAAATAATAAAACAATGTTCGCTGTATTTGATTTCCATAACGAGTAAAAACTCTAAAATCACTTAAAAAACTTCATGGTCAGGTATACATAATAAATACTAGCAACAAGTAATGAAGAGGAGCCAATTTTTTTTTTTTTACATTTATTTGAAAGTTGATCTGAATATTTTTGAATTGATTTTAAGTTGGGGTTTTTTAACGTCGTTAAAATTGCCTATACGATACCCCCTAAACGGATACCGGACGGCCGACGACATCCTTTAATCCAGTTTTATTTTTTTACTGCTACGTTGTTCTACTGCTTCACATCTATCCGTTCGCGAAATATCACAGATCGAACCTCAATCGTTTACCTCGCACAAAAATCGGTCCTTTTGATCTGTTTTCATTCGGACGGGCCGGCATATAAAACGCGCACTGCCGATTATCGTAATTATTGAAACTGCAGTATCGAATTCCACGCCGAATCGTTTTATACACGGATTGTGAATATGGCGGCTATGTAACGCGAATTAAGTACCTTGTATCATTGATTTTACAATAAACGTAAATCGATGAAAAAAAAAAAAATAAAAATCTATGATTTTACCCAATGACACCATTCGAGAATTCGAGACGTTTATTATACGGTTTTTCGTTTACAGAACTCAACGACTCTCCGGACGGCGGGGTTAGCGAGCGAACACAATACCTGACCACGGCCAGGAACTTATTGGCTTCGGGCGCCGACGCCGTCGAGAGGTTGATGACTTCGTACAAGGTATGTGCCTGTTTAAAACATCCGAATATGCTCGAAACCCGGCGTGTGCCGTTTAAATTTGCGGAAACCGTACAGTACGTATTTCGGTTGGATTTATAGCGTCGGGTCGAATTATTTGATTTAGGAAATCGTCGAGTTAGCCGGTTACACGTACAGGGTAGGCGCGATGCTGGACGTGTTCAACGACATGAGCAAGTGCAAGTACCGCAGAAACGGCTTGACAAACGGTAGAATACACAAGACGTTGCCGAAATTGCATTACAACAAAGACGGACAACTTATAATCAGAGGTAATAATAATATGTATTCTATAACGTAATATAAGGCGACGACAATTAAAAAACCGACAATTTCAAAGGGCCCAGCGGCCATTTCGTCCGTTATAATAACCACTCAAAGACCCGTACTATACCTATAATAGTTGTTTTCTATGGCTTAATAATACAGAAATTATGAATATTTGTTTAGTATTCCGACCTTGAAACGTGCCTATATATTCCGGCCAAGTTAAAAAGAAATGCTTGATGTATTGAATATGAAAATGGCTTTTTCGGGGCCGGTTTTTAAATGTCCACTGTCGGGTCACTGTAGGTATGGGAAAACGATTCTGCGGTTTATACGCGTTTATTGTTTTCTACGTCCAGTTGAAATCTCACTCACTGGCCTATACGGTGTAGAGATATGTTTAGCTACGGTAGCCCGCAGGGAACGGCCGCTACGGAGCTCCGGACTCGTTTGCGCGAGGATCTCGACGGCCACGACTCCGGCGCTCTACGGGGGCCACGTCCTAACAGTGCAGTGGCGTTTCACGAGCACATTGATCAATGTCAATGACGAAACGCGACTAATTACGCGGCTCGCGTTTTCGTAACTAATTATAATGTTACCGCGGTACAGGCGTCGTGAAAAACAGCCCGGACGGCAGCATATCGCTGTACGACGTGCCGATCGTGACGCCCACCAGTGACGTGGTCGTGTCCAGCCTGACGATGACGATGAAACCGGGCGAACATCTGCTGATCACCGGCCCGAACGGTTGCGGCAAGTCGTCGCTGTTTCGGGTGCTCAGCGGCCTGTGGCCCGTCTACGCCGGCACGCTCATCAGGCCTCCCAACTGTTGCATGTTTTACATACCGCAGAGGTAACGGCCGTTTATTCTATAAATAAGGATATATTTTTTTTTTTCCATCCCTTCCCCCGGGTGTTGCGATATTACGATAATAACGGCACGGCGCTTTTTTTTCCCCCTCCGGTCGCAGGCCGTACATGANTCCATCCCTTCCCCCGGGTGTTGCGATATTACGATAATAACTGCACGGCGCTTTTTTTTCCCCCTCCGGTCGCAGGCCGTACATGACGATCGGCAGCCTAAAGGAGCAGGTCATCTATCCGGACACGCTGGTGGACATGCAGACCAAGGGCATCACCGAACAGGACCTGGAAGCGTGTTTGGCCCGGGTGCACCTGTCGCATCTGGTGCAGCGCGAAGGTGGCTGGGACGCGCTGGCCGATTGGAAGGACGTGCTGTCCGGCGGCGAGAAACAGAGGATGGCTTTCGCCAGGATATTTTACCACAAGTGAGAACCTATAAGCGCACAGCAGTATTAGAAAATAGCAACAGTTTAGTGAATATTAATAAGTAGTTCCGTTGTACACTTTGTCGTATACGCTGATAACTTCGACGGCACTAACAACGTTTCGTCGGTAAATTGATTTTGTACTCGTTTTTAATTGAACGCGCATTTCTTCGTGAAAAGTTTTGCACGAAAAACCATGACGAAATAATGGGTAAAATCGAACACGCGTCGTTTACCGAGCTGCCATTAAAAAAAAAAAATACAAAAAATACAAAACTATGTTTAGTCACTTGAGCCAAAGTACAATTTAACCGCGTTCGATTTTGTCAAGCCGTCAGCTATTCCGTAATACACTGGAGTTAACTCTCGTATCAATAATTATAATATTATTGCTCATAAATAATACAATTACAATTTTAATGTCATGATAAATTTGTGAATTAATTTTTACCACGAAATTCCCGACGAAAATGTATTGTTCTCTGACATCATAAACGTGCACATTATTAACCCGGTCTCGTTCTGTCGGTTTTCTTTCAGGCCATCGTTCGCCCTGCTAGACGAGTGTACCAGCGCAGTGAGCATAGACGTCGAGAGCGACATGTACCAGTCGGCCAAGGACTCCGGCATCACTTTGCTCACCATCACACATAGGCCGTCCCTGTGGTAAGCGACGATAGGTTTTCTGACCGATTGCGGAAGCGATACTGCAAAAATAACCACATAATGTATAATATAGTTTAGAAACTAAAGTAAAGTCTTATTAGTTGAGAAACCAGATTTTCATCATAAAAAAATAAAAAAATAAAATGAAAATAAAAGCACTTTAGCAACGCTACGCAGCGACAGAATATTTTTAAATTAAATCACGTCTAAAAATGCTAATTTGTTGAGAATTTCAGTGAATACGATGTATACGATTGTATTTCACTGAATTGAAACAAAACTATAATCTTTCTAATACCAATGCTCAATATTCACTGCTAGAAACTACCATTGAAGTTAAAAATCACGATTGGAGTAAAAGTATTTTAGTCATAAAATTATTAGTTTACAAAAAGAATAATAATCATGGTAAATCTAGTGGATTCCCTGCTTCGGCGGATCAACATCTAAAAGTTATGATCTTATTAAAATTTTACGATTGATGTTTTTCAATTTCGATAAAATAAAAAACAACATTGCCCAGTTTTAGTATCCATTTTGTGATGAAAATTTGATTTCTTCAAACTATTTACATAATCAGGTCAAGTATTTCTGTTAACATTGAAATCTATTCTATGATTGCGTGACTTGCGTTGAAATAACGGCACTACTACTCGGAAATAATATATTTTCAAAATTAATTGTTTAGCAGATTTGTTTGCCTATACGCGAACCCTTAAATACTGTTTCGACGTTCTACGTGCGAGCTACGAGTCATTCAACCGTCGCTTAATACATTATGATTTTCTCGTGTTTCAGGAAATTCCACTCGCACATTTTACACTTCGATGGCGAAGGTGGATGGAAATTGACGACACTGGGACAAAAGGTATGGTCGGGTAATTTAGTGTTGAGACCATAATAATACGTAGACACGACGAACAGACCGGGAATGATCTCAAAAATATAGTATCGTAATACGAACAGCAATATTTAACGGTTTCAGCAAATACTCTCTAAACATAGTATATTATTCTCCCGGGATCGTTAAAACGGAATGTGATCATTCGCATTCGTTATAACGAATCGACTAGGTTTATTGCTTTTTGTTTTTTTTTTTTTACGATGGTATATGATTTCTATGTCTATGCATAAAACTACCGTTATTCTTGGTCTACTTATCTGATCGTCTTATATGATTTAGACAAACCCGAAATATATACCCGACGTAGGTCTGTAGTTTATTCTATATTATTACAGGAGAAGGACACGGGCGTGTTAACTGTTGAACAACCTGCACAACCAAAGGAAATATTGGTAAACGGAATTTCTTAACGCGAAAAATCAAAAACCTTGAAAACATATCTTGCCAACTTTACATTATAACCGAAACTATATTGTGATTTTTTTAGTTTAATGATTTATAAGATAATTATTATTATTATTACTATTTTTTTTTTTTCGTATCAATATAATTATGTTTAATGATACTCGCGAACGTTTTTCTTTCGTCGTCGGTATAATTGTGAATGTACCGATTCAAAACATTATTATTATTACTATTATTATTATTATTATTATGTGTTTACAGTGTATAAATTAAGAACGTTTTGTTTTTTTTATATACATAATATGTATTATTATATGTATTTAATAACTATCGTAGAAGTATCAATTTTCCGATCGTAATTTGTTAAAAAAAAAAAAAAAAAAAAAAAATAATATTAATAAAAAAACCCCGTCTGTATAGGTTCGAATCGCATATTTATGTATTTATGTACGGTAAACAACGCGTGTAATTTCAAATATACTTACCGTCGCACAACGGTATAAAGGATAATACAGCGTACAGGAACTTTGCCGCGTTCGCATTGTTTTCGCCGATTGCGATTGGCGGGATGGAGTGAATCGTTCCGTTGATCACGCCCAAAACTCCGACTGATAACAACGGATATGTCGTAATACGAACGTTGCGGACAATTTGTCGTTTAGTCCGTGACCGCGGTTGGCCGAATGACGGCCGTTAATGATAATGCGAATTCCCCTACTGTATTGTCCTTTACACCGGGGTCATACTGTAATATATATAAGTATAATATTATTATGTTGTGTTTAAAAGAAAAATAAATTTATATTATTGAAAAGACAAAAGTACATAGGTTCGCCAGTTTGATATATTACTAGCCGTTGATCGTGCACAGTATTGAACGTAAACAAAATTGTACATTGGTTTTTGATATTTCATGTGTCAAATCTACATAATGAATGCGTTTGGCGTATTGAACTACGACTGCCGCGACCATATAATATCAATAATAGTGGCCATAACCATTACCCCTATTACAATATTATCAATTTTCGAGAATAGAACCTCGACCGTGAACAAGGTTCTTATGTATTATGAACTTGAACGCGTTTTTGATTGACAAATTAACTTTCACAAACAATATTTATAATTATAACGTTTAATTTATGTAATGTAAATTGGAGAATAAACTCAAAAAAACTTTAAATGTCTTGCAAAGACTTTTTATTATCAAAGAATTAATAACCTTGCGTAAAAATGCAATTTTTTTTTATTACGATTGCGCAACCATTATAATTAGTCATTATAGCCGTTGGTCGAGTTAACATAATATTACAATACATTATTTTATGGCACGGTCTTTATATAAAATAACAACCGACTAAAAAACAATCTTCAAACTGCGTGGTTTTGCGCAAAGACATTGATTGTTTTCAATTATTGTGAACACTGTATATCATTCAATTTTATTTCAATTTGACGAACCTGAACTGAAGGACGTTAAAATTAAAAAACCTTAATAGATCTTGACAATCAATATAACCATTTTTCAAGTTGAAATACATATAGCTATATGCGTGTGCAGACCCGAATTTCGGGGGTTGCCTACAATATTTTTGGGCCCTAACATGACATGTATATATTTTAATATATTTTAATGTACGAACAACCATAACTTACATTTTTTTATTTAATATTCTAAGAGATCGATTTTAAATATTTTATAATAACACGCGCTTATAGTGTTTGAATTATTAAACTAATTAATAACGTTATCTACTTCAATATTGGAAGCCATTTCTTGTTCTGTGAAAAGTAAAGTTAATAATTCCAAACGGTCTTGGGCCATGGTACTTCTTAATATTTACTTTACACAAAATTTAATTTCGAAAATACAGGGTACAGTGCTAAAGATTTGTAGTATTTTAAAAAAAACAACTAAAATATTATATCTACTGCGAGTTTTTGAACCGATCCATCCACAAAAACACAGACTCCTTAAGTAGTTCCTTTAGGAATGTATTATTGCCTGATGAGTTCTTGAGAAGTTTGATTTCAGCAATCAAAGTGTCTGACGGCGTTTTCGCAAACTTTTCCAAAACGGCAGCTATTACGTTAAAATTACATATTTATTCTATAATAACGTCGGTTACATACGGACCCATGTATATATTTTATATATACACTTAAATTTTAGAGCCCCAATTACGTGTCGGGAGGTGCCCAGGCACACCCGGAACTCCCCGTGCGCACGCCTATGCATATGGTAAATAAATGATGGCAAGTAAACGATGTAATATATAGAAATAAAAAATAAATAAATGAACGAATACTCCAGGCGACGCATTCATTCATTTATTTATTTTTTATTTATATATTTACTTATGAGTATGGACCATTTTAATAATTTTCTTTTTACATTATTATTTTATTGGTTTAATCAATTTATCAATTTTTAAATCATTTACTTATCTTGTTTCTGATAAACTGACAATGTGAAACAAATTTAATAATGGCCGGCAAGGAGAATATGTATACATAATATATAATCGTACCACTTACCAAGACAGTAGACCACTGCGTTAATGTTGCCCTGGTCTAGTATACATGTATACGGTTACTCATTGTTAATGTGAGAGATAAAATAGGGTACATGGTTAGTTATTGAAGTTATTGAAATCAGTTGTGGGTTATTATTACTTCATATTCCATATAATCAGAAAATGAATTAAGAGAATACCAGTATAAAATTATCTGGGTAATACTTTAAAAAGGTCTTTTTTTGTTTTCAAAATAATTGAAAAAAAAAAAAAACAGAAAAACGGGAGAAAATGTAGGAAGATTATTGATTTTTAATTTTGTTTCTTGTAGTGATTTAGTTGAAAATATTTACAGAGACATGAAATTTTGACATAAAATAAAATTTTTATTTTTCTAGACGTGGCCGATTTTTTAAATCCGCTTCTTTTTTTTTTTTTTTTTTTGTAAATTTGTTACCTATTATCATGGTGAAAATAATTAAAATACGAGAATAATTAGTTTGTGATGGTTTTTTAAACAATATTATGATTAATGTTTAACGCGGAAACTTCACACGTAATAACGATAAACCGTTGCGAAACAAAGAATGAATCTGATCAGAGTTCAGTTGATAGTGATGCTTTGTCAACAACATATGTATATCTTATTATGGTAAAATAATTAATAAGCAATAATAATTTCTTTAATAATATTTGTTTTATATTGTAACGATATTTTCGTTTTTTCTACGTTTTTCCCGTGTTTTTTCTCAGTTTTTCATATTTGCTGGGAAAACTCTTGGGAAAATCGAAAAATGAACTCTTTAAAGTATCTAACCAGTCAGATTTCCTTTTAGAAAAAGTGCTATCATTGTAATTATTGTAATAATTATTTAAACATTTATTTATATATCCTCTCATTATATTTTTTTCTTGTTCTATTTTATCTACTTTGCTCTTTTACTTTCCAAATAAAACTTTCCTATACATATCACTAAGACTCGGATTTTATAGTATTGGCTAATTATTATATGATAAAGATAAAAACAGTAGGGTGAGCTTTAAATTTTGTTTTATTCACCAGACTCCAAATATGAACTTTTTTACCGATTTTTTTGCATATAAATTGCATATATTTTGCATATAATATTTAGTGTTGTTTTTCAATTTTTGGTGCTATTTTTTGCTAATATGCATAACAATGATTTATTTTGTATTTTTCATAAATAGTGGACAAATCTGTAATTTATGTGTGACCTAACCTCATATTTTATTACTTTAATCTAATTTTAAGTAACTTGGTGTATTGTAGAGATGTGTTGTTCACAAACGAATTAGTTTGAATGAACGATTCAGACGAATTAATAGATCTTTTGAACGATTCAACAAAAAGTATCTGTTCAATATAGACGTGTGATTCAGTGGTTATTGATTGTTATGTGATTATTTTTGTTTTATTGATGTGTACGCGTACCGTTGTATTCCATTATTCATTTTCACTGCATTCGAATGAAATATAGATCAAATTTTAAATACTATATAATAATATCTAAAGTCATGCCAGAATCCTTAACCAGGTTCCACCATAGATAACAAATAATATTTTAAAATCTCTGTTATTGACTATTTTATCATATTATTATAGATAACAAAATAAATTTCAAAATAATTATAAAACTATAATAATAATTTTAAAATACTAAAAACCTGGGCTCGAAATTGATTTCTGAAACATTAATTAAAATCGGTTAAAACCGTGGTTTTGTCATTTCCCAACACCCTAACCGAAACCGGAACCATATTTTATAGTTTTATCTATAATTTATTTTAATATTGTCAATCATTGCTTAAAAAAAAAACAAAATTTGTTTCACGTTACATAAAAAGACGAACATATTTCGTACTATGGGTTGGCCACTGTTGTACGTGAGAAGTTGGAAAGTTAGAGTATAGTGGGGAATTTTATGTATATCTGCACGCAACGATTAATCTTTTCTAACGAAAAATGATTCTGAGCGGAGTTTGGTTATTCATGTTATTCAAAAGCCATAATATTTACGATTTCCGTCAAAATTCTAAAAAAAAAAAAATATGTATATATATATGTATATAATAGGTATATTATATTGAAACTTAACTTTTTCTTGTTGACCACTAGATCCAACTTAAAATGTTTCTCCTGTTAATTTTTTAACCATTTCCGTTTGATTCAACAAAGTTATCCACTGAGTACCTACCGAATAAATATTACGTAAACAATTTGCAAAATTAAAATGTCTAACTTAAAAATGGCTGAAATTTATTGGAAAACGTTTATCACGTTTATAAAATTTAAATATAAACTTTAGGGTCACAATTTTATGTCTCTACGAATATTATCCACTGAATTGTAATAAAAAAACAAAATTGAAAATAATAAAAGCATTATTTTCGTAAATTATCCCGGTTTTCCTATATTTTGTCCCATTTATTGGGAAAATTCCTGGTAAAATCAAAAAATGACCTTCCTAAACTACCACTCCTGGAAAAGGTGCTATATTTGATACTTCAGAGTTCTAGTAGAATTTTTGTATACAGTAAAAAACAATAATAAAAAAAATTAATCAATTAACATCTTTATAAAACCAATACATTTTACGCTTACACTTAGAATACAGAAAAAAAAAACACTAATTGCAGATTTATCACTGGTCATAGTTCGACTTTTACATCCACGTCTGCTATTTATTTGTTTTATTAGTATTGATACTAGTCGTATACTAGTTATATAAGTCGTTGTATTTCATTATTCAGTTTTACTTTACTGTTATTACACTTATTGTTTTTTTTTGTCAAGTTAAAATTTACATAGCAAAACAAACCAATAGTAAAGTTAAAGTTTACATTACTTTTCGCCAGTTTTTAAGCAGAAACCTGCGTTCTTAATTATTATTGTAATACTTTCTTAAATGATTTTTTTCAACCAGTTCACTGTAAAATATATTACATACGAATCACAAAGAGAGTAAAAAATACGAACACAAACAGGTTTATAGCGCCGTTTCGCATAGTTCGACTCCGCACTGCCGCATCTTTCGTGCACCTCGTCAGTATGAATATTTCTACGATCCCGAGTGTACCTGCGCTATACGCATACACTGGGTTATAGTAACGGAGGAATAGATCGATTCAAATATTTTAAGTTAAATACACTTTTATTTTGAACGGTTTTCGTTCGTTACAGTCGACACACTATACTATTCTACGTCGGTTGTGTTATATATCAGTTACTTGATTTACATCTCATTGAGGTACGTACGAATTCAACGTTTTAATACGGGACTAAGAAATCTTTTAAATCTAATTAATTTAATTGTTATTTGTTGCTCATATTTAATCACATAAAAACTCTAAATTCAACGTAAATTAATTAAAACTACAGGTACATTGTTAATTAAGATAGTAGGATTGTAGCGAAGGAATCCACTTTTTCGGTTAAAAACTACAGTGATCGTACCACTAGAACTTTCTTACGGGGCGGGGCGGGGCCGAAACATATTTTCACCGGCTTTTTAAAGTGTAAAATTCCTTAAAAAAACTAACGTCACAGCTATACAAATTTTATTAATAATCACGGGAATCGGGTTCTTTTACACTTTGTAAAATATAACATATTAATACATGAAATAAGTAATTTTTATTTAACTAAATATAATATTATGGATTTATAATACAAAATCTAACCTCCGGTTTTTCGTTGGAGAGAATATTTCAACAACATCATACACACCGGTATACTTATTTCCCGGTAAATATGCAACAGCGCTAGCCCACTTAAGCGATCCGGGCATATTTATTTCATAACTAGAAATCAACGATAAGAGACAACTATCGAACCGCCAGCACGAAATGATAACACCGAAAACCACGGCTTTAGATAAGGGAAGTGTGTTTAAATACAGAAATGCATAGTTCCACAGTTCGCATTGCTTAATTGTGCGCGTAACGTAGATAATAATAACACGTTGATTATCACCGGCTAGCTAAAATGTTGAATAAATATATGGTTGATAAAAGTAAAATAAATAAGTCTGATTTAAACAAATATTATCGCAGTGAAAGACTTAGTATGATTACATACCTGTAATCATATAAAATTGTAAAATTTCCTTATTGATCGACGTGCTATTCTCGAAATCCAAATGCTCAATTAATAGTTTTTTTTTTTTATTAAGATCAATGCATTTATTACGTTTTAAAAAGTACGATTTTTCAAGAGTGATGTTTTCTACCTTACGGACATTTTTTTCCATGTCTCTTGAGACCCGGATAGCATTGGAATGTAACATTGACATTGCATTAAATATACCGTTAAATAAATATTCATATTGAATGCATATTCCATTTTTGTTGTTTAATACAGCCGCAATATGCATGCAATTTTATTGGGTCACTGTTTAAACATTGTCTATTATCAATAATTTAATTGTGAGACGTATGAAACGTCGATAACATATTTCTTAATAACCAATTAGTGTCTTTTGAATGTTGCCGATGCATATTAAACGTCCATATTCGATATTATTGACAACTCAAAAATTGGTCAATCCTATCGATCGTGTATGGGGCACGTATGACGGCGATACGTGAAACAAACAGTTTTTCGGACGTTCTTCGTTTATTCTGTCACGGGTAAAATACGGTACCGTCGATTATTGATTGAAAACCGTAATACTGTAGTCTGTGCAGCAACTGATTGTAGTAGCGGCTTCGATTTACATAAGTGGTCCCTCAAGGTAAGATATCCGCGGCCATCGAGTGTTTTCCTCGGAGTCCCGGTGGCCCGGTCCGACCATGGCTAAGACAGGAGAAACGATTCGAACGAGAACAAAAATAACCGACACTGTACAATACACGCGTAAGATGTTTTGACGCGCAATTATAACACCTTTGACTCGGTATACGTTCTACGTGTTATCGCTGTACTTTATTAACAACACAAATACTAACGGCGCATTAAAGCCGAAATATCGAAGCCGTTATCGGAGTGTTCGTGAAGCCGTTGTCTTTACGAAACGAATCAAACACGCCCGGAAATCGTACAGACGTGTACACGATGACACATGCGTCATACTGGCATTCGTACTCGTGCCCACACATTATCGAACACGTTGAGTATTACGGATTTAAAAACTTAACAAAAACCGGTTTTTGCTGGGATCGCAGCCCGTGGCCATATAGGTGAGCGGACAGAATTCGCGTAACCTGCGGTATATTGTTTACGCGACCAAACATTTCGGGTCACCTTTGCTGAATCGATTGCCATTTTCCGTTATCCGTCAAACGCGCCCAGACGTAACGCAACAGTTTAACATAGTCCGCTCTATACATTTTTGTTTTGTACGAAAATCAATTGAGTAATTTTTTACTAAACCGAACGTGATAGTAATGTACGCAACCAATTATATTTATTTCGGCCATCAAAGTAAAACATTCGCACGTCAAGGCCATAAGTAAGCGAAAACAAAAATTCGAGGGTATTCCACATTTTATTTGTTTTCGCCAAAACATTTAATGACATTTTTTTTTTCGATTATTAAACTATTGCGCTATCGTATTGTGAATAACATTTTCTTATTAGTTTTACAATTTCAGAGGGGAGCTCTGGGTAGGGTGCACAACAATTATTACATTCTTATTGAAGTTTGGGAACTGCTGTTGTAGACTGGATAATATATTATTATGAATGTGTCTTCTTATCGTGTTTATCAGTAAAAAAACGGACATATTTTTCATGACGGGGGGGGGGAGGATACTGTTGTTGGTGAGAAGTAGGAGAGGTAGTAGGGAAATCGAATGTATATCAGTAGGCGACGATCAATCATTGATAATGAAAAACGATTTTGGGCAGAGTACGGTATACATGTTTTAAAAAGGCCTTAATATTTACGATTTAAAAATAAAACATTTCGTAAATTTTCCCTTTTTTCCCGGTTTATTCAATTTATTAAAAAAAACCCAAGCGAAAATCAAAAAATTACCTTTTAATGTTCCATCTCAAATAAATTTCTTTTCACGAAAAGTATATTTGAACATCGGAGCAACATTTCTGGTTGAAAAGTTGTTCACAGTTAAACAAATAAAATAACAATAAACATCTTTGCAAAACCAATACATTCTCGCTACATTCGGAATCTAAAATATTGTAGTATCCTTAAACTATAACGTAAAATACCATCAATTTAACCAGAACATTTTTTTTTTTTTACAGAGAAAATAAATCAACTAAAGATTAAATCGAATTTTTAAACACAAATATAATAATATAAGTTAAGAATGATTATTGATTAGGTATATGATACAAACATAATGAGTTTGTCTAAAAACGAACGTAGTAATTTATAATCTTTTAAAAAACCACTTATCAGCCACTTTTGCGAGTTGGAAGTGTAGAAAGTATAATATTATAGACACTAAGTATACTGATATAGAGTATTTATATAGAGTATAGAGTATAGAGATATAGAGTAGTGATTTATTGTACATACCGAAAGCAACTATAAATCACTGCAATCAAAAGTCGATTTTCAGTGATACTCAGTTAGCTGATGAGGTACATATTAATCGTATTTTCTTTTTCTCGTAGCCAAAGTAACCCAGAAATCAACAGAGACAAAACGAATGTATGGTCATTTGTTGTCAGTTTTTTTTATGTTTGTAGAATTATTTGTAATAGAAAAATGTTTCACATAAAGTATCGACCGCCGAGCGAAAAATAAGTAACTTTCAATGTAAGGCGCAAACAAAATCGAAGCATTTTTACCAATCATGAACACTTCTTGGTATTACATCTAGTATAATAAATTGTCGGTAATAAATTATATTGGATCATAAGTATTTTTCAACATTTTTAACAATATAAAAGTTTGTCCCAGCGTGCCCTGTAAACGAGTTTACGGCGTCAATAATGGTATTAAACTGATTAATGATTTTGATTTTGATTTGAGAAACGACGAATGTTCCAATGTCAGGAACCAGGCGGTTCACTTCTGGAACGAGCGTGGAAATAGTTCCGTTTCGACAAGGCCACGTGAACCGGTTACTTTTTAAAAATAACTCTAAAAGAAACTACACTAGAATATGTATACCATACGTTGTGTCTTAAAGGATCCCCCCCCCCATTATTGTATAACATCACGTTACCCGCAGCAAACGAATAACAATAACAATCGTAACGTACACCTGCAAATGATTTCTGTAATTAAAAGGAACGTCCGCGCAATGCCGGTGTAAATATTATTATTTCATTAGGTTTCTGGGAAATCGTTCGTAGCAATATCACGCGTGCTCGCAACACCGTCCGCGTGTCGTATCGTTCGCCGAATGGTATTTTATGCTCGCACGTGTTCTCAAGGTTCGCGATATTATTCCGTAAAAAAAAAAGAAGCAGAAAACGGAAATAAACATTTATACGGAATCCGAGTGTTCGAACGGACACAATCGTTAGCGGCGTCCGAGCCGGTGCGCGCGGTTTCCCGCAATTCGCGCACCTGTCGGCCCGGAACGTATTGTTTCAAAACGAACGTTGAATTTCGTAACGTCACGTGTTCCATGTGCCCGTACAGCTGCGGCAATGCCGTCTGGCGCGCCGTCGTATAGCTGCCAACTGCAGTCGGTCGGCCGCAAGAACGACGAGCGGATCTTGGACCGGACCGGAGTTTACGGCGACGCGGTCCGACCGAAATCGAAACCCGCGACCGAAACGACCGACGGCGGTTCGCGACGAGGAGAAATGGACGGCGTTTCGGCGAAACGGGGCGCTGAGAGAAATGGCGGTGTCCACGGGCCCGGGGCGAACGGCGCGGAACGTGCGGCCGAAAACGGGCCCGACAATAGGGCGCGTCTGGAGGACGACGGACGCGGTCTGTTGCCGAGCCCCGTTGCAGACACGACCGACGAGGTAAGCGATCGAAAACGACAAACCGTCCGGTTACCGCGCATTGTTCGTAACGGCGGCCGGCGACTGTTTTTTTCCGATTTATACGGGGCGGGGGAGGAGGGGTGTGATTCACCGAGCGCGCTCAGTGCTCGCCCGAATTTTCTTTTTTTTTATCAGTTAAATTCGTACGCGTTCGAATTTTCGATATTTGAAATAGTTCGGCGTTTTCGAATACTTAGGTTTTTCGCGGCATTCGACAGGTACCCTGCGCAAATACGCATGGAGAACGTACATTGAAAATCCCATAAATAGTTGGGTGTGTCACTTTAACGTTTCTGATTTCTGTCTACCCGTCGACGAGACATTTTACGTTGAAGTTTAAACGCGCGGAGAGAGTAGTGGAGTGCTTGAAAATTCTAAAAAAAAAAAATCAGAATTCGAATACCTGCGAAATCGACCTCGTTATTTTTTTTTTTTACTCAATTCGAGCACCGTTAATAATAATACGCACGCCCGACACGTTTTCAGATGATTATAGAGGAGGAGGAAGAAGACATCCCGAACGCTTTTAATCTGTACAGAAACAAAAAACTTATATCCCACGGCATGATGGATGTCGCGTTATTTTCCGCAAACGCCAATCAGCTGAGATACGTACTGGAATCCAGTAACGGCGACGTCATTCGCATCATATGCATCACACTTCTGTTGATCAGCATATTTCTGCAGGTATTGCCGTTATACAAGTACCGCATTGTCGCGTAGCGCCGTGTACACACAAATCGCCGCCGATCGGTAAACTGAAATTCCCGTTCGAATGTTACAGATCTTGGTGGGCATCGGGCTTTTGCTGAGCGCCCGGTACAACGTGACTAACTGCGACCAACGGAGAATGGCGTTCAAATTTGGAAACTACGTTATCGTGGGCATATTCCTCATAACCGTCGTCAACATTTTCATAACGTCGTTTGGCGGACCGTCGGCGATCCCGCCGGCAGCGATAGCGGCTTCACCCTTGACTGAATTCCGGATGTTAAACGACACGGATACCGCGATAATCACATGAGTGTACGAAGCGAATATATATTTTTTTTTATTGCTATTTATAAGTCGTGAGTTTGCAACAGTTTAATGTAGTGACTATCTATTGTTGGATAATAGCTATCTCCTTCGATCACTATTCGAAAACTCGATTAGAAACGTGTTTAGAGAGATATCAGAGTGACGTTTAAAAAAAATATTTTTCACTGAACAGTTCTAAAGTCACCGAAAAGACCAAAAATCAATTTCACTCAAAATGTTCGTAGATAAGCCCTGGTTAAAAAAAAAAAAAAAATCAATCATTCTGTACAGTATACTGTGTGTACAAATTGCATTTTAAAAGGACCACCATTAAACTTGGTCGACTTCAGTATTAAACAAATCACACATAACGATAATTATGGTAATAACCGGTCGATAACCATTGATTAAACATAGTGCCTAATGTAATATATTGTATTATATTTTATGCTTTGTGTAATCAACAATGACATTACTACGATTATACTAGGTACCATTTTTACTAAGCTGAATAGATGGCGCCGAATCAGTTTTGATCAGTTCCGATCAATCAGGATAAAATACATTTACAACAATAAATTTATTTTGTCATGCGGTCTCAGACTTATCAACTAAATTGCAATTACAGATTCGAAATTTACCGCTTGACGTTATGAAGTGTTTAGTCCGCACGGGAACATTCATTCGGATGAACAAATCGAATAATCAAACCTCGCATAATGTACAAAAGATGTATTCCAAAATAAAAATAAAACATTTAAACGACTGAAAATCATAATTCGTGCGTGTTGTTCAATTCAAAGTATATGAGTAAAAGAATAGGTATTACCATTGTAACATTCTCTAATGTGTTTAATATTTACTAAATAAGTTAAAAACGAAATTAACTGAATATCTAGTTGAAAAAAAAAAAATGGAAGATATTTTTAAATATTATATGGTATAATTAATGCGAAAATAAACGATAGTTTAGTTTAGTAGCGTACTTTATATCGTAGCGAATTAAATATAATTATCTTTGTGTATATATATATAAATTACCGTGTATAATAAAAAAAAAAATGTATAAATATTGTATTGTACTTTTACACTTCTAGTGTTAACCGTGAACAATACGATTCGTTATCGATAATGATAACAGGCGCAAATCGTCCGCCACCATGTGCGCACGGCGAAGCTGCCGACACACGTGTTTATTTTATCATGCCGTTTATAACGACGTCGGTTGTAGTGACATAACGTCGGATGTAAATGATCTTTTAGATCGAAGGACCCGAGAAAAACTCCCCGTACCGTAGCGCGTAACAATTTGCGAATCGGTAATTATGACGTCCGTATATACGGTGTTATCATCCGGTTGTTACGGCGGTTATTCTCGGTTATATTGGAAAAATCTGTTATCTATTAAAACGAGCGTGTTGTCCTTTTATCAAAGGTAATATCCGTGTCTTTTCAACGTGATGTAAATTTAATTTTAAAATAATAAAACCGTTTTTATTAAACATTTTTATTGCAATACAATATTATGGTCTTGCATGCGCGTAATACACGTAATCGGGTTTTTGCATTTTATTTCATCGACAATCGATTACGGAGATGGTTACGTATCTGGAATGCCGTTATTGTAAACGGTTTCTTGTTTTTTACCGAGATATCAGTTATTATTATTATATTTTACGTATATTATTATATTATTTTGATAGTTTTCGTAATCATTTTGTTGCATAATATCATTCATCAACATCAGCATACGTCGTCACATCCGCGACTGTTTATAAATTACAAATAGGTTTTACGAACCGACGGGCGAATGGCAATACGTATTATTTATATGTTTTTATTTTGGTAAATGTTTATTTGTTGACGACATCCGGAACTGTTACATCACAGAGTTCCAAAGGGTTAAAATAGTCAAATAAAATCGGAACCGAAGAAACGGAAAAATTCTCTTCCGAACAAATAGGTATATCAGTACCTAGGTTTAGGTTCCTAATAAAATAAAAAAAAAAAAAGGGTTTTGGTAAGGTTCCGGTTTACAATATATTCGAAAGGTACGGTCAAAACACCGATGTTTTTAATTTCGGTTCCTGCGAGCCCTGGTTCCGTAGTCCTGTTGGATCGTACAGTTTTAAAAGACTTCCGTTTGGAATATCGCAATGGCACCGGAATCGTTTCCGAAAAAGAATGAATAAATACTTTGATCATATTGAGGGTGTCCGAATACATTTCGATGATTCGTCGGTACGTGTAAATTCTGAAGACGAACATGATAAACAACACTAAGTATTAAATTTAATCCTAAAAAAAAGTGCGGTATGCCGTTGAAAAAGTTAAACATCTAGATTTAATATTTAATAAGGAAGGTGCCACACGTAGATCGGACAAAATCAATAAAGAAATTAGGAAAATCAATAAATAAGAAACAATAAAATTGCAGTGTCGTGATGCGAAAATATCATTCGCACAAATAAAAGTGGAAATGTTGACGATTTCCTTTGCGTGCAATGAATTTCGCTCTTTAGTTTATACGAGGAGAACAAGGTCGTGTCACAGTCGCGAACGAAAAAAAATTAAATAAAAATTCAAAACGGTGACTTACACTTTTTTTTTAAAAATAACCAACGTACATTTTCAAAATGACAACACGCCCGATAACTCCGGCCGACTCATTTAGTTCTGAACAAATATGATTTAGTATCATATGAGCCATTACTCACGGCGAATCACTTCGTTTCGAATTGAACTGTGAAGGTATCCAGTATATTTTGGACGGTTTATAATTGTTTTTTTTTTCTACCGCCTTAACAAAACAAAAAAATGACATTCGAAAAATTGCTCCTGTTTACACTAGTTTCATCGACAAGGTGTCCACGAAACGCAATTGCCTTGTGTAGCCGGATTACTACAGATTCCGTATGCTTTCCGTTTTAAACAACCATAGCTGTGTACGACGGTTACTTAATTGTGATAGCGCAGGAATTATATTCAATTGATTGATTTTTTTTTTTTTTTCATATTCAATCCACGGTAAAGTTAACAACACTATTTGCGCGTTCATCGTCATTTTCATAACTTAATAAACCTCACTCGGACACGCCATTTTCCCAATTGTTGTAACCATTCGTTTTAAATATTATATTATCACTATTATTTTTTTTTTAAATTTTAGTAGACAATTTCGATTCGTATTTTATTCTTATGGTTTTGGAACGATCAAGACAACGGTTTCTGGATTGATTTAAATTTAAATTTGAAACTATCATTTTATCATTTTTACGGTTTAGAGTTAAAAAAAAAAAAAAAAAAAAAACAAAAATACTATATGAATCACATAGGGAGTATCGGCCGTGGTCCGTGGTTCGGCACCCATGGTGGCCGTAACCATTGCCCCATCTCCTAAATGCGTCTCCGACAAAAACCTTCTTTTTGTCTTGCCTTTAATTCATTTTTTTTTTTTTCTTCATTAAAATCAATAGCTCTAATAATTATATGTGAAAACAACGGTCGGTTCTTCATCGCGGGTCCGTACATCACCGCTTTGCATATAATTTGGCCCACTTTGGCCGAGATAATTTCGATCAGAATCCGATTCGTTTCGGATATTTCTGTTTCAAAAATAAATATTATTAATAATATTTGTATTCAATACCAGTCGGAATAATGCCACAACATTGTGCGAGTATAAAGTGTAACACGGATTTATCGTAATAGTCCGAAAAGGTATAACACAATTTCGAGTCATCGCGATGACGGGGCAAGGCAAAAATACCCGTTAAAAGTTAAAACAAAATTATTTATTTGTATTATAAAAATTGATCATTTCAAAACAATCTTAGAAAAAAAAAAAAATTCATAATTGATTTTGATTGAAACTGGAACTTTACAAACTAAACTTACTCGTAGAATAGTACGTTCTATAAAATTATAAATACAATGCATAGAGGTTAGGTTTTGGTACAAGTACAATCATATATAATAAACATAATGATGAAAAAAAAAAAAATAAAATAATAATAATAATAATAATAATAAAAACCACGTTAAGCATTTGTCGTCGTAATTGTGTATTTTATATAAAAAGATTATGATGTAAAAAAAAAAAAAAAAAATGAAAGTAATACACCTATATAACTATAAGATAAAAAGTAAAACTATACCACTATAAATTCAGACGCACGTGTTTAAGTCTTTAATTATTTATGTATTTGGGCGATTATTTATAAGGCACGTTTAACATCACAAGTTGTTGGTTCACAACGTTATTATTATTATAATATATAGTTTTTTTTATTTTTTTTTTTATTAAATATTAAAAAATCGTTTATTAAATAGACAAAATATTATTTCAATTAACGGCATTTTCCATATACATATAAATATATAGTATTAATGTCATGTACACATAATGACACCCTGTAAAATCAGTTCTGTAGTACGCCTAATAAAAAAAAAAAAAAAAAAAACCAAACAAGTTATGATTATTTTCAAAAAAATATCGTTCCCGAGTAAAACCGTACGAATCACTCAATAATATAATAAAGTCATAACAATTTAAATTATTAAATTACATTTATAATAATAATAATTATATAAAATCAATCTCTCATTTTTTTTTTTTTTTTTTTTTTTTTGTCTACTTATTCTCGTATAATTATAATATTCCGTAAAAATAAACGATTCGGCGACGATACATCCGCCGACAAAAAGATGAAATCGAATTTTCATAGTCATAACGATTACCCCCCTCCCTCCCCCCCTACAGATCGAGTCGATAAAGTCTCGATAATAATACGTTTTACACACAATATTTATAATATCGTCCGTAAAACAATAATATGTATGCCTATTTTTGCCTGATATTATGATTGTTTTAATGAATATTTTTCGAAAATCAAAAAAAATCGCCACGGGGGAGGGGGGAAGGAAACAGCTCGCTTTAGACGAACAATCGGAATCCGAGTTGAGCAAAAAACGGTGTAGAGGGGGTTCGGGACCTATGGCATTTGCACAAAATACGCTCGGCGTCGAATGCTGTTGTAAAAAATTTGCGGGAAACATTACGAACTCGAATGCGAAATCTTCACTTTTTCATTTTTTTTTTTTTTACGGTATTTAAATAATACATTTCGATTGTTTATCTTGTATTTTATTTTTTTTCCCGTTGAGCGTCCGGCCGTATAAAAACGACGAGTGCAAAACGTATAAAACTAAATAATACGGACAAAACGCGTTGGCGCCGTTGGAACGTTTAAAGAAACCGTGGGGATTTAACGAATCGATTTTTTTGGTTTTTTTTTTTTTTTTTAGGCGTTTCTTCGCAGCGATCGGCCCCGAACCCCGGGCGATTCGACGATCGAAAAAGTTAAGTAAACGCGCGCCACTGTTTCGTAATTATATACGCTTTTACGCGTCGAGCGAAAAAGTCCAAGGAGATCCGTTTTTTTAAATTTATTATAATTATTAATTTTTTTTTTAATTTTTTTTTTTTAAATTTAATATACTTAAAACGATAATTATAATAACAATAATGATAATGATAATATTAGACGTTGTCCATAGTTGTTATCTCTATCTCTATCTCGCGAATGCCAAAACTCCGCGGGAAGCGGTCGGGCCGATCGAATAAAATAATGTACATATCGATAACAATAAATATACTCGGAAAAAAAAAATACATACATATATAAATATATATCTAAGATATCTTAAACAAAAAGTGGGGCAGTACACCTAGGCGTAAATACGTAAACAGTACATATTTTTTAGAGTACAGACTACGAAATACAATATTGTATACTATCGATAATATAGTATTGTGTAATAAATAAATAATATTATTGTAGAATTCGATCGTGTTTTGTTTGGTGGCGGGGGGGGAGCAGGAGGGGGGGGAAATAAAAGACAATAACAAAATGGAGTTTTGCCCGTGGAGCGACTACAAGGAAGGAGGCGTGGAAAAAAAAAAACAAAATTGTGGAGCGATCCGGTAACTATTGATTTCCTTTGGGAATAATAATAATAATAAAAAAAAAAAAAAAATCCAGCGTCGTATATAAATAATCAACGGTCGGGCGGACGTGTACGCAAATGTAATAATTGAATACAAGTGAATTAATTATTCGATTACAACGCGATAATCGAATTACATTTATGCGTACAGCGGACTGCGCGCGCGCGTTCTCACAGCTTGACGGACAGCCGGCCGGACGACGACGACGTTTCCGAGGCGGCCGCGCTCTTGGCCGCGGAGCCCTTGCCGGGCGCCGGCGGCGGCGACAGCGTGTCCGAGGCGACGCTGCCGGAGTGGCTGTTCCGGCTGTACCAGTCCGCCACTATTCCGCTCTCGGTCGACTGGCTGGAACACTGGCTGGTCTGCCGCGCGCCCTCGCTGCTCCGGCAGCTCGCGCCGCTGCTGCTGCTGCCGCTGCTGTTGCTGCCCGCGCTGCTGCTGCTCACCGATATCACGGAGTGCGGCCGTTTGGCGATCGAGTCCAGGTCCGACGGCAGCGCCACTATCGAGTTGCGGAACCTAGGGGCGGCTGTGAACGACAGACAAAAAAAAAAAAAAAAAACCCCTCCGTCAAATCGCCGTTTTATCGTACAACAATCTAACCTCGGTGCCCGTCCAAGCCTCCGCCAGCGCGGGCGATAGGGGAACGCGGACGTGTCGTTCCTGCGACGATTGCGTGTCGGGCAATGTTCCCGCGGGGGGGGGGGACGAAAAGAGGAGGAAAACCCGAGCGATTTATCAGTTATCGCCGTTAAACGCCACGTACCCGCCTCGGAACACTGACGAGTTAAGGACAGCCTGTATCCGTATCTGTATTGTCTGTGATTTTCGACGAGTATGATGGGGTTTACCGACCCGACCCCCGGTTTTCGGGGTGTCTGACGCCGAATATTTGGGATAGAGGCCAAGGAGAAGAAGACGGGCGTTTTTCGGACGGGCACGTTTAGCAGAAACGCCCAGAATGGCACCGAGTACTCACTTTTACTGAGCTGCGCGAACGTGATGGATCGATCGTTGATTTGATCGGCGCTCGGCCGGATGTCCAAACACGGTTTGTTGCCAATGCCCATAGAAGACATTTCCGCTAGTCTAACCTCTGCAAACGAATAACGCAACGGGTGAATTAAATCGAAAAAGTGGCGGCGACGAGCGGGAACTTTCCGGCGGACTTACCTCTGTTCCGGAGCGCCTGTTTCCACAACAAGTTGGACAGCTCGTCGGTCCACGCCTGTTTGATGTCCTCGGACATGGACACCAGCGTGTACGTGTCGCCCGGTTTGCGTTTCCGGAACCATATCTCGAATTTCGTATTACTGTCCCCGACTTTGGCGGTGAACCCGATATCACTGGTTTTTATACTGTTCTTGTACACGTACAAGTCCAGATTCTATACGGCGCAACAAATAAATAGCGCATCATTGACAAGATGTTTTTAGGAAAACAATTTTTTTTTTTTCAATCTCCCCGTAATGTCCGAGTTTATCACACTCGCACTATACGAGACACTCACCGTTCGGTCGGGAAATCTCCTCGCTTTGCTGAACAATATCAGTTCCTCGAACAGGAACACTTGTCGTAGGCACTTCTTGCCCTTGCCCTGCCACACGAGGAACTCATTCTGCCGCAAAAGCCTACCCTGCTCCTTCAGGTTGACGTCGCACTCTCGGAGGGAGTCCATGGCCAGCAGATCGTTGCCGTGACGCAACTGGAACCTGACCATGCTCTCCGCCTGCCGTAGGTGTTCCGTGTCACCCTTGGCCATTTTCATCAGCTGCTGAAGTAACAACGCGTACTTGCCCATCCTCTGTACGGGCTTCAACAAGTAACTGGCCAAATCCATTCGGTCGCGGAGTTCCAATTGTTTTGCCTGTAGTCGTCGAACACACATGATATTGATAGGTATTAAATATAATATTATAGACATAGAAACGCGAAAAGGGTCAAAACGGATATACTACTGACCTTGAAGAATGCAGAACCATACTCGGACATGA